AGAACACAAAAATTTCGCGGGGGCATGCCCCGGACCCCCTACGACAGTGTTGTCTCAATCGGCCCAACTTTCGGCCCCCCCTTCCGGCCCCCCCCTTTTGGACATTTCTGGATCCGCCCCTGATGCTCTTCATAAACTAGGTCTCATTATGAGGCTGAGGGGTGGAGTTGTTTTTGGCCATGAGAAAAAATCCCATCACTTGATGGAAATCAGGTGTATCTATGAGTCTTAGAATGTGGGGGATGTACAGTGATAGTGAAGTGGGTCTAAACAATTAGGTGAGGGGAACTATCTCATAAAAAGGTGATTTGTGGTGATTTTTAATTACTTGAGTGTGATCTTTTTGGGGCGGGGGTGCGAGTGGGGGCCCAAGTGTTTTTGGGGTCGTGATCCCCCATGCACTCTAAGATATACCACTGATGGGAATTGAACCCAAGACCCTGTGATTGGAAGGCAAGCATCTTATCCACCAAGTTACAGCTCCACTCCATCAACATTGCAGGTGCTATACAAATCCAGAATTATTATAATTACTGTATTATGAACCCGGAACCCTGGGATTGGAAGGCAAACACCTTAACCAAAAGGCTATAGCTCCTCTCAGTGTTTGTCCAGATATACTACAACTGTATTTGTATCCTCAAAAATATCTTTTCAGACAATTTCTAACATACCCCCTCCTCATACATCTTATGAGGCCTAAAGCCAAGATAATGGCCAAAATAATGAAGATACTTTGAAGGGGTAGAACGTTACCGACCGCTAACAGCTTCTCATCTGTTTTTACATGGTCTATGGTCATTGGGATGTGTTGATTAATATCTATTCTATCTCCCTGATTAAAATGAATCACCCTTCCTTCAAGATCCACTTGAATGTTTGCATTTCTAGAAAGAAGTTGTGCCGTGTAGTAGTCATCTTCAAGAAAGTGACGGAAAAACATGACAAGACAGGCGGCAGCAATACCTGACATGTGGGACAGACAGCCACCTGTAATCAAACAAAAACATATATATATACATTTTTAATATATATCAATATTTATATAAATAATAAATGCATAGAAATTGTTCACATGTGGTTAAGCAGTTGACGTGTTATTAAATATGTGATCAATCTCTGTGGTAGATGATTTACAGGTTTTTAAAATCTGTTAATTTATTCCATCTGATCATCAAATTACAACAAAAAAATGTTTACCTGTATCTGGTAAAATTTTCTCCCTCAACAATTTTCTTCCATTGTATTTGGCTGTAATGTCAGCAGGCTTCACTCCCCTTCTAAAAAAAACATAATAGCAAGAATGAGGTGGGCTGTGATGTGTAGCTTCAAGATAAAATCATTTATATTGAACCACACAAAAGCTCTGTCCAGAGTTTGACAGAAAACTGCTGTATGCCCATATATAGTCATGATGTGCATATACCGTAAAACCTCAAATTGGGCTTAATATCGAGATGAAGCCCATCTCAAATTGAAGCCCCTCTTTAATTTGCAAAATTAGCCTTGTGCTTCTTTTCAAGATAGCATAGGCTTCTTTTCGAGACAGTACAGTACATACACAGTACATGAATTTAAAAAACAAAATAAATTAAAAACAAGCTTTGTTTATACAGTAGTTTAGGTGATTTAATCTCAGTTAAATACACTCCATGATAGAGATTGGTGTTATAGTGGCCGTATTTATTGTTTTATAGTGCAAATTCACAAACTTACACCATTCATTTTGAAAAGGAGGCCCCTCTTTACTTTGTAAATGTAGCCTCGAAAAGAAGCCTATCTAAAGTTCGCAAAAATATAAGCCCAGGGCTTCAATTCGAGGTGTTACGGTATATGGTGATGATTTGATGTCATCATTACCATATTTAGGCATGTCACATGTTTTTGACGAACACAATTTGATAGTCTGGACAGACTTAAGCCTGGTTTCTATTAATTTGCTACACATTATTATCGACAGCTGTCGGTGATGCTGATTGGTCAGTCTAATTGGGGAGCCTTACCGATTCCATCAGTGATAGCTATGCAGTGCCAAAAACAGTGAAAACACTAAAGCGACAATGTAGCGATTTTATGTAAACCTAACCAGAATTATAAATAATATGGTGAGCCGTACTAGTCTTAACAGTAATCAAACAATAAGAAAATGGTAGCACTTTATAGACTAGTTGAAAATTGTATTGTCACAAGCTTTCGTGTACACAGTACACTTCTTCAGGTGAATGATAAGAGGAGCAACATGCAATCGAATATAAAAGGTCTAAAACAAAAGGCAAGTAATAAAAACCAGAATTGATGCTAAGATAATGTGAACCTAGATAAATTAAAAGTTTTACCTAATGTTCCCATTATTAAATCGTTTTACAAATTGTTCATCAAAGTTAGGCCTCCCTTTAATCATATTGGCTCCGAAGATTCCATCTCCCATCTTTCTGTATTCATCACTGTCTCTAATTTTTTCCTCATCTCTTGAACTTTCATCAACTTCTCCAAAGCAACCATTTTCAAACTGCCATGACAATATAAGTTGTAGCCAATCAGGGTTCAGAAACTGAGAAAAACCTGCTGCAGCACAGATGGCGACTGGAAAAATGAGTTATTATAATTAATAAATAATTATTTAAATTTATAAACATTAATTCAAGCAATGGCTTTCAAAAATACATCCCATTTAAGCCCTGACTATCAAATTTTATTTGACAAAAACATGTGACATGGGTCATGATGACATCACATCATGAATATACAGTATATGGGCATACAACAATCTTTTGTCAAAGAAAATTTCATAATCTGGACTGAATTTATGCTTACTTTGTTCCATGAATAAATCTTTATCTTCATCTGGAAAAATATCATTATCTGCAAATCTCTTAGCCAGATAATAAATGTTGGAACAAATTTTCTCGTAAAACTTATTAATGCTATCCTGTCCATTTTGTTCTGCTTTCTCCTCCAGTTTTTGCAGACAACCTGTCTGTAAAATGTGATTAAAAATAGTGATTATATTCCTTCACTCACAATAACCAATGCACAAATGAAGCATCACCATTTATGATACAAATGTATTTATAATTAGTAATTAACATAAGAAAAACCCCTGCATAATATTCATTCATACTACTTGGGAGATGAAAATCAATTTCAATGAAAGGAAACCACATATATTATACAGTAATAAAAATGTAGATATATTTAGTCTTAAATATACACATTATCAATTGAATTCAGAATTGAATTGACCATTTAAAGTTCCCATAATGACTGAGTGACTAGAGAAACATGTGTTGAGAATACATGGTTTATAGATACAGTATACTCCGCAATGGGACAATAAGTTCTTGTTGATTTACAAATTTTAAATTACAACAATCCTTAAATTTATTCTGTACCAATCTCAATGTCGCAAAAAATAAAGCAACGTATAATTTACCGTATTTATTTGAATAAACCCTAGAAGCCATTTATTTTTTAGGTTTTTTTGGGGAGAATTAATTTGTGTTTATTTTGGTGTAAAATAAGTGTGGAGCTAAAACACATAATTACCGTCAAAATGTGTTATTATTTGTATTTTCTCAGTTGGTCTATACTATTTCTGGGTAAAATGCATAAGGGCAATGTGCAATATGCGCTATAAAAAACATTATTATTATTATTATTATTGCATGATAATAAAGACTTTTGATCCCACAATGTAATGTAATTCTATGGAGTAGAACAATGATGTTGCTTCCATTAGATTTGTTTACGGCGTCAATTCCGGAAAAAAAAATTTGAGGGAAGCATTTATCAAAAATTAAGCACTAAAGGGGGAAATTATTCGAGGGGGTGTTATTCAAAGCGGGTCTATTCGAATAAAAACAGTATGGGTCTGCTAACTGGCGGGAAAAAATATTTTAACATTTTATTCTTTAATTGCAAGGTAATAACTTACTTAAATATATAAAGCAAGCAATTCAAATATTTAATTTGATTATATATTGGCTCAACACACATAATACTGTATAAATCTATCATTGGAAAGTTCAAGACTTGAAAGCATACATGGCCAGTGCATCATGCATAAACTGAGGGACACGAGTATGCTTCTAATTGCATAAAGTATTTGCACACTTCATCTTGGTCCTGAGATAATATATTAAATACCCAAATGTAATCTACATTTACTAGGGCAATGTATGCATACTCAAATTTAGTTTGTCCTTTTCAATTACTATCATCTGATCAACGGAGATCAAGTAGGCGCCATATAAACTTACAGTAATTATTGCAATCTAGGTTACTGGAGTGGATTACTACCAATAAATCCAATGCAGTGTCCATCATTTGTAGATGAGGGATATTTCATGCCATCCAATATCAATATAAATGCAAATAATCAATTTAGACTTAAAAGAAAATTGATTGGTTTTCTCTTGTGCTGCCCTGTTTGGTGGGTGGGAAGAAAAACTCATCTTCAATGCATAAATTGACATTTGACAATAAATATATTGAAATCTTTTTCTTTTTGCTTTACACCATAACGAAGGCGATAGTTCAAGTGAAGTTGATCATTTTTGGATTTTGAATGATCTATATTCAAATATCAGTATTGTGGCTTGCAGAGTGAATTTGTTTTTTATTTGTTTAAAAAATTATGAGACTTTCTTTTAAGAATCGAATCTAGGACACTGGGATTAAAAGGTGAGCACCCTAACCGTCAAACCACAGGTCAGTCTTTCATCTAAATTACAACATATATTTTGCTATATAAAAATATATAAACAATATCCATTTGATCAAATGAGTCTTGGTAGTAAAATATATATGGTCACAAATATTTGTTGCATTTGAGCCACACCAATATTACGCACAAAATATTGAAAAATCAATGTAGTGATTAAAGAGCCTGTCCCATATGTTCACATGATAAATAACAATGAGCCCTAATTAATATCATCAAATCAAAAGCTTAGAAAAGATTACAATATGGCTCAGCTGTTGCAAATAATGCATCAATAATGAGTGATAATATCTAAAATCCAACTTACTGGTTGAAGGGGCTGTCGCACCGGGTTACATCATAATTAGAATGAGCCCGAATTCATTCTTTCATTTAAATAAATTCAATTTTGAATGTCACTTTCACCATTAGTGTGTTATGTTGTGTTGTGGCATACTATATAAATTGTCTTGGTACCACTTGACAAGACAATTTCTGATAATCTTATTCAATTCATCCTGCCAGCCAATTACATTGAAAACATACTGAGCATTTAACCAGAGGATCCACTAATTAGTCTTAAATAAAACAAAAAGACAGTAACTCCGAATAGAGACAGAGACATTTTGAGATTCAACGTTTCGATCTATTTGATCATTTTCAAGAATACTGGTGAGAACTGAGCATTTCATCCACTTGATTGGCTGTGTAAGTAGCTTGAATATCATTAATTTCTTTGTTTCACCTAACTAGATGCGTGAATAACACTGTTCCCTTGCATAAAGCCTCAAATTGGCAGGTAATTAGTGAATAAATTTATCAGGATTTCTGGTAATACTTGTTAAATTTTCTTTTGGATGACCCAAATTTTCTGTTTTTAATACATACAGAATACAGAATACACAACTTTTATTGGTCTTGTAAGCAAAAGTACAATACAAGAAATGACTTCGTTGTTGGCAAACCATATGGAAAATTTTTGAATATTTAAAAGCTGGGGGGGGGGGGAATTAATACAATGATTTTTATAGAAAAAAGGTTGCAAATTAGAAAAATACTAATTATTTTATTGTGTCTTATTGTAAGTTGATATATATTTTTTATTCTTTTTAATGAACAGTATTCTAATTAAATTTTTTATGCTTTTTTTTAAAGATTTTACCATATTCATTTAACAGTAACCTTTTTCATACACAGTACCTTTTGCTGTTTTACTTTCCTTCCAGGTACTTCGAGCATTTCTTAAAGATGGATTTGATAAAAATCTTATTTTTCACTGTTTTATCAAAGAGATAATAAAACTAAATAATGCTTTGGAAAAATCAGTGCAGACATGGATGAAAACTTATTGCTTGTAATTTAAGGCTCTTTTGTGTAGACTTACTTAAGTGTGATGGCAAAGTACCAAGATCTCAATTGGTTTAAGGACAAAGAACTTAACATTATCAATGAGCATCATTCCATATCAATCATCTGTCACACTGTCACAGAAACACACTTTTCAATGAATAACTTTAATCAGGCTTTTACACCCTACATTAGATTATCAATTTAACAGCAAGATTTTACCTTCTCCGCAATCATGAAGAAGAGCACTTGGTGCGTTGCTGTGTAGCCTTCGGAATCGGCCGTTGTGATGAAACGCCAACATTCATTAGATAAAGTACACGGCACAATCAATTTTGAACCTAGCATATCTGATAAACATTTGTCACTGAATTCCTCATCAAAAGTATCTTCTGAGAAATAAGTAAACAGAAAACTCAAGTTACAAATACAGTCTTCAATCAATATAGTTTATTTAGTGCCACTGAAATCACTATGCTATAACACTACAAATTGCAACAGTTTCATCACAAAATTGAAAATAACATCTCAGACACAGACTTGCTAGAGCAAATAAAAACTAAGCACAGTGACAAAATTTATCAGGACTGAATTAGGTTAGTAACAAAGGGAAAGTTGATTATGTTCAATTTAGATTCAAAATGCACATTTTTATTGATACATACCATCTGACAATCCTTGTTGCTTTGATGTCAATCCTGGTCGGACAACTTGCCTCGGGTGATGTTCAATTTCAAACGGAGTGTCAATAAGTCGTAGAAATGCTATCGTGTACACAGGGTCTTTATTGAGCGTATGACTAAGTGCTTTGAGGTTGATGACGGCAGTTTTTTGCTGCAAGTTATTTAGGGAGCTGATTACAGTGTTATGAACATGTGGCAGCTTGCCTTCTGCATAATTCTTATCTATAGATCCAAGCTGACCTACAAAAAAATATTAGAAAGTTTGAAAAGTTATTCATATACAGTTTTTATCTAAAAAATAAACACAAAAATTGATTTTCAAAATAATGAAAACTGTCAATTTTTTTTCACTTAAAAAGCTCTGTCCAGATTATCACATTTTCTTTGACAAAAAACTGTTGTATGCCCATATATAGTCATGATGTGCCTATATATGGTCATGATGTGATGTCATCATGACCACATTTGGGCATGTCACATGTTTTTGTCAAATAAATGTTGATAGTCAAAAGAACCGCTCTTAAATAAGCACTGCTGCAACTATTGTAAATATAATTCTATTTTCAATAAATGTTAAGTATCTAATGATTCAAGTGTATATGCTCAACGTGCCTTAGTTTATACTGTAACCCTTTAAATTTAGCAATTGAAAATTGTCATAAAGACCTTAATAATTGCATCCATCATCCATCTTAAGGTCATATTAACCCAATAGAATTAAGCTATTTTGAATTGTTTTCTTTTCATTTCTATATTTAAGCAAGTTATTAAATTTTGATCTTAACACCGATTTAATTTGTTGACACTTATGATCTTGTGCGTAAAGGAGATGATTTGAACACATATGTGGCAAAGACAAGCCAAACCAGTCACTGGTCGCAAAAATTGGGTAAAACTTGCGTTTGTAAAATTAAAAAAAAAACCACTGATTAGGCCTAGGCAGTCCGATAGGCTGGCCTTCTTTTAATAAATAAACATCATTCCAGTTTTTGCCTAGGCTATGACTGTATGCTTTTTTTCAAGTCATTCAACCCCACTCAAAAGGTGTAATGCCTCACACATGCATAACTCAATTTTTACAGATAAATTCACCAGTAAAAATATTTCAATTGGAAGAACACCGAAAGGATATGGTCAGATATCTATTGTTATATTTAAGAAAACTTAACAAGACTACCAGAAATTCAACATACCGTAATTGTTGCTATGATGAAGGTCGATATATGCACAACTTGGATAACTTGGATTTAGACACGATTATAAATGAAACTCATGCAACGCAATGCTGCCACACTTTGTATTTTTATTCCAGTGACCTGTGACCTCAGTCTCGTACAATAACTTTTGTACAGTGAACATGAATATCATAACATCCCCCCATCTTTCAAGTGAAGTAATGATGTTCTGTTTGTCAAATAAATTAGTTTTATGTCATACTATGATCTATGTTATTTCTTATTATTATTGTTATACTGCTGATGGCTTTAATCTCAAACACTATGTAACAACAATATTAATGTTAATCTAGAATAACCATTTTAACTTCTTAAACAATGAAAACATAATCTTTAAACTTTGGATGATAAAAGTAACATCTTAATGACCTAACCAATGAAATCATCATTGAAGTTACACCTTCTAAACACATCTTGCTTAAGCTTCAATTACCTGTCTAACATGATTCTTATTCGGTGATTTACACATCTTTGCAAAGTGGTTTACTTTTTGACATGAACTGCATACCTTTCCCATTGCCAACTCCCTGGTCTGACAGTACAATATCTGAATATCACAGTAAATTTCGCTAACAGGTAGATCAGCATGTGCTAGCTGTCACTGCAATGCGAAAAACACTATTTGCAAACACAAAGCGAGGATCCTGATGTAATAACTTAGAGGTCAAAAGCAAATGAGGGGATTTACCCAATCAGGAAGCGTATACCATCCAGTGACCCTTGTAAAATAGTAAGTGTAGAGTAAGCTTGTGTGTTGTACGGGTAGAGATGTCAAAAGGCGTACACTGTTGACTGTCTCTGTGGTTAGTATTATTTTTTTTTTGAACCAATTTTTATTGAAATTTGGAAAACTACAATCCAAATGTATAATTCATTATTTCATTGTGTATCTGTACTTGACAGATATCGTGAATACTTTGTTTTCAGGCCTGTATTTAGATGTGTATAAGAGACAGGGATAACGCCACTAAAAGTGGTGAACCTGCAGGGAGATGGGGTCACATGCCCCGCTCAAATGTAGTTAAAATCACCTCATATCATTTTATTTTCCTACCAAGCTATCTCCCCTCAGATAATGTTCAGTTCACTCCAACGTCCCAACACATTTCAAACCGCAACAACACATTTCAATACCACTGTTGATTTGGCTTTGGGACACATATCATAATTCACCACACAATGCACCTACCTTAGTAGTAGACCTAGTATTAGCACCGGTACCCCCAGAAACCAACCCTGGGCCGGTCATCCTACATCACAGCATCCCACCAGTTAAACATAAACGTGGCGAATAATAATGGCCCTTTCCAGAATGTTAATCAACTTAACAACTGACAAATCACAACACGGCCAGAAATACGCGTGTGCCCTATAAACCATGTTGTCCCACAAAGGCACGTGTTTACGTATAAATAGCTTATAGATAAGGTCGATTATCATACTCATCATTTTAAATTCAACACAAATAATTATATTCTACTAGGCCTAGCCTACCACATCCGATTTCATTCTGAGTGGACGTGTAGGCCTAGGCTAGGGCCTAGCTATAGTTAGGGGGCCTAGGCTGGAAAACGGGCAGCAGCAGTACCTTCCACAATCCTTAGACAGAAAATACAGTCCACGTTCAGATCACGGTGCTGCTCATCTAAGAAATATAAAAGTCGTTCAAGAGCATTCGTCAGATCTTGCAAGCCAACAGATACAGAATTTTCCACAACATTGCACTTTGGCAAACCTGGACACACAACAGTAAATATGAAGACAATCCACAAAATAGAAGACATTTGCAAACGATGGGCGCTCAGCTTTGCAATTATAAAGGTCAATCAAAACAAAACAGTGTCACAATAGTAGAAGCGCTCATGCGTAACGAATAAATATCAAATTTATGTATTTTTATCTATGAACTTTTAAAGAATCTTAAAATGTGTATTGTTGTCTTGGTAAAATTAACAGTTATTGCAACCCCATCAAAAATTAGAAATTATATTTTTTTAAATTTTTTTTAATTTTAAAATTTTATTTATTTTGTATTAATCAGGGCGGATCTGGGTTCAAATTTAATCAAATGCTCCTAACAACCCCTGCTAACCTAAATGGCGAGAATTTAGCTTTCCCATTACACAAAGAAAAAATCGGCTTACTGGTCCTGAAAAGGTAGGTCTAGATTTATTTATTTATTTATTTATTTTCCTTTTTTTTTTTTAATTTCAAAGTGGAGGAGGGAGAGGGTCAATGTTAATTATCAGTACATATGATACGATACAAATGAATATAAATGTAGTATATAAAACAGGAGAAATCATTTCGGATGTCCTGATGATTTTTCGTATCTATAATGTGTGAAACTTGTGTGCAAACCAGTACCGTAGTAATAACGAAGACAATCTGGTGGGGGTTGGAGGCGGGGGTCTTTTTGAGGTTTTTGGGAAAACCTTTGACCCCCGCCCCCTAAATTTGAACCCAGATCCCCTGATTCATATTCCCATTCATTTTACTAGTGCCCCCACCTCTCCGTTTTGAAAAACGTTCCGCCGGCCCTGTACGTTTTTACGCTGCGCTTTGAATACGGTAGTTTCTAGATGGAGCATTTTAATGCTCCATTAATATTATAATTAGGCCTATGCGCGCGCAGAAGGCGCTATTGTTATTGTTATTATTATTATTATTATTATTATTATTATTATTATTATTATTATTGTTGTTGTTGTTGTTGTTGTTGTTGTTGTTGTTATTATTATTATTATTATGATTATTTCTATTAATTTTATTATTATCATCATCATCATTTTATATTATTATTATTACAGTACTATTATTATTAGTAGTAGTATTAGTATTGTTATGATTATTATTATTAATATTATTGTTATTATTTAATGATGATATTATTATTAACACTTTAGGCCATATTGCTATTGCTATGCCTCAATTTGCTATAATGTACTTTAGTAGGCATCATTGGCGGCTCTAGGATATATTTTCTGGAGGGAGGGGTGCTAAGTTGTCCGACAGGAGGGACTTGAGCTCGTAGGCTCGAGCTGGAGGAAGGGGTTGCGAGAGGGTTCCCCGCCCAAATGAGATTTTTTTTAAGAATATCAACCTCTGGATGGCCGAAGGCACTCCAGACTGTGACAGACATGTGTTGGCTTGGTGGGCCTATTTTTATATGTTTTATGGTCTGACTGCCCGACGAGCTCTGTCCAGCGGGGGGTTGACCTGTCTGGTGGTGGTGGGGTGGGGGCTTAAGCTTAAGCCCCCCTGCCCCGCTGGCGCCGCCACTGGTGGGCATTACAGTTCAGTAGTGTATTGCAAATGTTACACATGTTGCAGATCAGTACGCCAGAAGACAATCTCCAGCTTTTTATGAATACTTTCTCCTTATTATATATTGCAGGTTTTTATATAATACAATTTTTAAAATACAGTTTAAATATATATTTATCAGTACAGTATGACATTGAACGTACGTCTGACCAGGGAGTTGTTATTAGATAATAACAACTCCCTGGTCTGACAGTACAATATCTGAATATCACAGTAAATTTCGCTAACAGGTAGATCAGCATGTGCTAGCTGTCACTGCAATGCGAAAAACACTATTTGCGAACACAAAGCGAGATCCTGATGTAATAACTTAGAGGTCAAAAGCAAATGAGGGGATTTACCCAATCAGGAAGCGTATACCATCCAGTGACCCTTGTAAAATAGTAAGTGTAGAGTAAGCTTGTGTGTTGTACGGGTAGAGATGTCAAAAGGCGTACACTGTTGACTGTCTCTGTGGTTAGTATTATTTTTTTTTTGAACCAATTTTTATTGAAATTTGGAAAACTACAATCCAAATGTATAATTCATTATTTCATTGTGTATCTGTACTTGACAGATATCGTGAATACTTTGTTTTCAGGCCTGTATTTCGGAGACAGTGGCTGTTTGTTCGCAGGTATCTTTTGACGATGGTCACAAATCAACAACACAGGATAGGCCAACAAGTCCGACTCCAAGAAAACTGGCCAAGTTTCTGCTTCTATCAAAACCAATAACAATTTAATTTGTATAATATTGTTGAATCAACATTGAAATGTTGAAATTCATAACTCAGAGACTTCGTGCCCAGTCATTGAATGAAATACAGCCATTTGTACTGACAGTGAAGGTAAGAAAATTCCACCACGTATGGGTTATCTGAGTTTACTAATTTATTAATTTGATTTCGTAAGGGATTTTAAACTTTTTGTCTAGGACTATTGAAAGAGCAACCTTTGTCTAACATTATTACTTATTTATCACTTATTGATCATCTCTACGGATTATGAAGTGTTTTCCATCTACTATTTATTAATACCATATTATTTTGTTAATAAATAATTTGAGAAAAAAAGTCCCCATCGGGATTCCAACCCAAGACCTTCCGATTAGCATTCGGATACTCTGCCAACTGACCAATGAGGCCAAGGGGTATGTATACACCCTTGGATTTTCCCATTAGGACACATTTTTTTTAACAAGGTATTGCGTAATATGCGATGAATAATAGTAAGTGTATCTCTATACCACAATTACATGTACTTTCACATTATTGTGTGCACCATTACCAGTCAGTTTATTTTTATATCTACTTTGAAAAAAAGAACAATTCACAAATGTACGTTTTAAATTTAGCTAGCATAATTGATTAAATGTTTCTACATGCTCCATGACATTCCTTCATTTTTAGCAGGACCATACCAATTTTAGGGTATGTCTACAACACAGGTGGGCAAAGTGCAGGCTGCATGCAGCCAACGAAGATAAATTAAAAACCCTATGTGTGGTGCCCACCTAGAAAACACCATGTTTTTTTTAGCCCGACACCGATCATAGTAACATTAAAACTGAGAATAAAGAGATGTTAAAAGCACTGCTTGAAGATTTTTGGAAGCTCACTGGAAACATCAAAGTTTGGGTGCGCCCTCTGTGTTTAATTAAAAATTCCCTTTGACCCTCCGACCGATTTTTGTGCCCACCCCTGGTCAACAAGATGCACATGTCACAAACTATACATGTGGCACCCGGCCATTGGACGATACTTAATTAGTGGTGTTGCTATGATTTGCCTGACAGGGGGGTTGATGTCCCTGGCAGGGAGTGATTTCCTCAACAAGAGTGTAAATGTTTGGGGTAAGGGGTTGCCCATAACTACTTGACACAGTCGGCAGCCAGTTTTCGACCATGATCCAAAACAACAATTTTGCAAACGGGCCAAAGGGAATTTTTTTGTCATGCCGATAGAAGTTGAACTATTTTGATTTTGGAGTGATGTCACAAACAAGAGTGTGTGAGGTGGGGGGAGTCTAGAGGGAACTGCCTATAACTACTTGACATTGGGCAACCAGTTATGGACCATGATCCAAAACAACAATTTTGCAAACAGGCAAAAGGGAATTTTTTATGCCAATAACAGTTGAACTACAATAAAACGTATCACTGATTTTGAAAAAAAAGTTTCTCTGTAAATAGACAGAGGACAATGTGTCACTGTGCAGTTTATCAGGACAAGTCAAATCTTGTTTATTCCAAATTTCCCTGTGTAGGGTGTTTTTTCAGTAAGCCACTATATATAGAAACAAACTTCCTCAGTTATAACAAGATCCCCAACCCTACCTGCCATTGCATTTAATATCAACAAAATGATTGATGAAATTTATCATTTACAGATAGAGCATGAAAATATCTGATTATGCTGAATTTTTTATATTTTTTTACAACTTTTTGGAGTGGGGTTCTCTCCTCCAATCAACGTCGTCTCCCCAATTTTGAGTTTTTAGATACTGAAACGTCTGCATTTTAATAACCAGGATGCTGGTAGAATAATGATAAGTCATAACATCCTGGTTCTCATCATTTAATAATCATGTACTTCATTGTTATAATCCACACCTGTGGAAATGGAATTATTGAGGCTGATGCAATAAAATATAAAGTCGGACAATTAAATATTTAAGTGAAAATTAAAATATGAAAAGTATATAAAATGTAACTTTCAATCATAAAATATACACACACACACATGGGATACACATTTCTTGTGATTTTTCTCATCATCTTTAGCATTACAGTTTAGTTCCCCTCACCTTCCTATCATTTTCCTGTCCCCCACCCCAGCCTTGTCAATTATACCCATCAACATAGCATTACAGTTTAGTTCCCCTCACCTTCCTATCATTTTCCTGTCCCCCATCCCAGCCTTGTCCATTATACCCATCAACATGTCTTCTAGATGCACCCTCCGGAAGGAAAGAGATAGACAAGGTACATTTCTTTTACTTGTGTGCATATAGTGCTATCTTGTGTTTTGCTTGTAGGAGGAAGCAATACAATCTAGTGGAGTGGAGATTCATACCATTAACTTCCAAAAATTAAAATTTTAGTTACCCCCTTCCCCAGGAATCTGCCCATAAAATCTGCTTGGTAAAAGAAAATCCTGTAAGTACTATACTTCAAAATCACTTTATCACTTAACTGTCCAGCCAGTTCTCCTCACTTTCCCATTGTTCCGATCCCCATCCCACCACCCTTACCCCTGTCACCTCTGTGAGGAAAGAGATGGAAGGGGGTTCAAGTGTTATAACTGGTGTGTATACATTGCTGAATGTTATTCTGTTATAAAATGTTAGGTTAATGTTTAAAGGGCATTCATGAGTAGGTATACTTATGTTCTACTTTACTTAATTCGTTTACCATTAATGGTAGTTTCCATAATATTTACATAATTCAAACATTGTTTCTTTCTACCAACCTCCTCATCTTCAGTGTCAATAAATATGAGGCTACTTTAGAAATTTTAAGTAGAGGGGGCCCAGGGAGGGACTTTCACAGATGAGGGGTTGACCTACCTTAGCCCCACCATGGTAGGTACAAGATTACGGTTGAAGAAAGGCAAGCCTACTTGTGCGGCGAGTTTGCTAATAAATGTTGTAATTCAGATAGATACTGTATAAGATTGGGTTCCCTCAGTATAGCCAGTCTCACCGTATGAATTTTAGGCACACAAATACATACCAAGTTCCCTAGCATCGGACCAATAAATATGGCAATAGCCCTATTCCTCACTAGGCTTTTAAATAATGACAATAGAGCGATTGGGCGATGGGCGTCACATGACCTAATTTGGGTGTTGGATATAAACAATCGACTGGCACAGCAGTGTTTTACTTGGAGATTGCTATGGTGGCCGTCTCTTGTTATTGCTCTAAAGATCATCATAATTCCCAGTAAACTATACCAAATTGGAAATTAAACTTGAGAATTCTGCCTTAATGGCTTGCTATGCTGTAAAGGATACTGGCCGCAAACATTGAGATTTTTTCGACAAATGTTAGGCCTAGGCCCCTGCACATCTACGGCATGGTTAGGTATGCATGATGGTATTTGACCTGGCAAGTTGATTGGCCGAGCGTTTAAGTCAGGGGCACCGTGACCTTTAGCTCTAATATCGGCGTTGGTTCGAACGGCTCACTCGCCAATGGTTCCGGTGGTGGAACAAGTCTTCTCGGATAAGGACTTTAAACCGTAGGCCCAGTGTACGCATTTGGCTCGTGTGCACTTTAAAGAACCTGGTACATCATTCGAGAAGAGTAGGGGGTTACACCAAGGTGTACTGGTCCCCTGTTGTTAAATGGATATGCCACGTAGGACAGTGATTAAGTTCACTTATTGGCATATCCTTGGCTCTCGTGCCTAAAGAAATGAAATGAAAATGAAAATATGAAGGTTTATGAATCACTTAAATTTCAAAGCATGCAAACCTAGGAGAACGCTAGGAAAGTATAAAAACGCTATTTTGAACAGTCGTATTGCCTTTCTTAGCCATTTATTTCTCACGTAAACAGTGGGTGGTTGTTTTTGCAACCATAACCATTATCTTTTCCTATGCTATCGCACTGTAATGTTTTTCATGTATACCCAAGTTATGTCATGTGACCGCTGTAAACAAACATCGCCGAATCCCTCCATTAATATACAGCAACTAACTGTTATTTTTACTATTTGACAGTTTCTCCAACCATCAGTGTTATTAAGGCTCTTGATTCAATACATTTATTTTCCCTTTTTAATATGAAATTAGTCGATGAATTCAAAAGTTATTTTTTTTAATAAATTTAATTCTAAATTGTAAATATTTTTTTATGTGACATAATGTGTAATTTGATATACTGTAAATAATAATAATAATAATAATAATAATAATAATAATAAAGTATTAGCACATAATACAAGAAAGTTGCCTCTATGCGCTTTACATGAAATATCCAAATACTACAAAGAAAACTAATAACGAAAACGGCATAAAAATCAAAAGAATCAATTCCACTGCTCCGTTCTCTAGCACTTTGAAGCCTCAAAAGTTAGGGGCTCGCTGGGACAGTACTCACAGGAGCTCTAGTGAAAATGGTATCTAGCTAGGATAGTACAATACATACTCCACGCCAAATGCACGCCATCGTGTCGGGATTCAATATTTCGACATTAATTATCATTAATGATGATTCCTGATGATGACATATTTAATGTCGAAATATTGAATCCCGACATGATGGCGTGCATTTCGATACTTGGAGCATGTATTATACTATCTTATCTGAGACTAATCAGGACCTTTCGGTTTTTGGAAAATATCTAGCTAGCCTATCCTACAATTTAATAAATAAAAAAATGTGTGAAGGCAAGATTGCTGAGTGGCTAAACAGCCAAACAAGATGCGAAAAACATGTTTCAAAAATATTTTTTTTAAGGAACTTCTTAAAAATTTCATCTGAAGTTGAATTTATTTATATTCAGAAAGATACCGGTATATCTAATTGTTATACCGTAATCTAATGGTTATAACTTGTAATTTTTTTATATTTTATTATGTTTATGATTATGGCACCTCTACGTGGCTGAAAGGACAGTCTCAGACATAACTTGAATATAATTGGAAAAATTTAAGGGGGGGGGATCACTTTCCCCTCTTGAGTCGGCTATGAAATAGACATGATAGCAGCCTTAATGCAGGCTTACTATATAGTACATTTTCAGGGAACTACTGTACTACAATACTGTACACCGTTCACGAAACAATGTGTAAACACTGTTTTTCCTAACAATGTGCAATACTGGGGTAGTTGGCAATATGCCTACTTGTACAGTAAGTGTGGCTGCATGCTGTCTCTTTAACAAGGGGAATAACAACTTGTGATAGGCTGTTTACATTTTCAACTTGATTGGCAGGATTACTACGGGGTCATGGGGTCACGATAACTTATCACATGCCTGGCGCTTGCTGCAACTTGTATAAAATCTATCTACAGTCTATATAACAAAGAAAATAGGGTAGCTATGCTGATAATAGAATACTGTAGTAGAGAACAAAGAAGATTTTTATACAGAGTGTTTTATTCAGTTTTATAAAAGTAACTGTACAAAAAAAACAACAATAAAAATGAGTATAATGTACAGTCTAGTGAAATGTTCTTAATTAAATTCCATAAACATGAATGTTACACAAAGTTAAAATATTTTCACATTTTAAAGTATTTGAAACTTCAACTGTAAACTTTCTTCCTAAATCTCTGTCCAGATTATCAAATTTTCTTTGATAAAACAATGTTGTATTCCCATATATAGTTATGATATGCCTATATATGGTTATGATGTGATGTCATCATGACCATATTTGGGCATGTCACATGCTTTTCCAACTTAAATTTGTAAGTCTGGACAGGACTTAAAGTATTACTTTTTTTATGTGTTTCAGGAGGTTTATTCGGATTCTGAAGATGAGAACAAAGAAGTTGAGCTCTTGTTTAAAGGTACAGTATCTAATTTGAATATTCATTAATAAAGGTACTGCTATATCTAATTTGAATATAAGTGGGTACCTGGTAGTTTAAGTGCGCTGATTACTAGCCTAACATTACGGAACATTCCCCTGGGAGCTGAGCACGTGTTCCTCATAATTTGATTCAATGACGGATAATATAATAATGAAAAGCCTAGAGGTCTTCGTGATAATGTGCTATGTAAGACTGGCCTTATTACTACAGTTTAGGAAAATATACAAAGACTACTAATAATACTGTATATTTTTTTTTCTGTATCATAGTTTCTGTAATTATACCATTTCAGTTTTTAATTGCTAGGTATACCTATATTATTTTTTATTAATAAGAAGTATTTCAAATATACTTTTTCTATAATAAAAAAAAAATTAAAAAAATATGGAATACAACAGTTACATTAGTTTTTCTTATTATGAACTTTGACATTAATTGATATTGTCTCCAGCTTACATAGGTGGATAGGTTATTGTGTCATTACTGTATTTGTGTTCACCCACATGTTTATATCGGTTTATATACACATTGTTAACCTACAATGAAACGCATACAAATATTTAACAAGATTTTCAATCAAAGGCTGTTGGTAAACTAATGTAATAGATTCAGTGTATGAAAACTGTGTATAAAATCTCATTCAAGCTCTTTGACAGTACATACATTGAAAACGCTTTTTAGAATAATAAATAAATTTTAGAAAATTTAACTTCTGCACATTACTGCATGATATTGAAAGTGGCAGTGATGATTATGATGATGATGAAAGGTATATGAGGCAAAAGTACTTACTGGTATATAATATTAATAAGAAGTAAAAAGGTAAGGTTTAGGAAATTGGCAAATCTTTTAGTCTTGAAGTGGTCAAAGTAGAAGCCTAATGACCTTTTAACCTCAGGATCGAGGTAAGGATATTATCAAGGAGTGGTAGTAGCAGACCAGTGCGTGCATTTAGAGGAGGAGTAATAGGTGTACGCTCCCTATTTTTAAAAAAAATGTATGCTTCCAGAAAATTAACATGCTAAATAGTAAAAATCAATCAAATACTACCTTAGGGTAGTAGAGGTTTACATGAAATTTCCCACTCCCCCCACACACACAATTGCATCCCCAACAGAGGCTCTGCCATAAGACTCTTGCTCCACTCGCACATTCATGTCCCCCTCTTTTCTTAACAGACTAGATCAGCCCCAGCTTTAACCCCTTTGTACTAGCAGCTTTGGAATAGCGAAGAAGGAAAGATAAACTAATAATATTACTAAGTTCTGTTTTAGCTTAATACAGCTTATAAATTGGTCTGCACTGAATTACATGCACGACTAGGAACACTCCTCAGGGAGCACAGAAGGTCGGTTGCACATTGTATGTTGATAGATGCCCTACCATATTATTATTATTATGCACAGTGCAGAAACTGTGGGTCTGCTAGTGAACAGTTCATAGCTTGATGTTGTTTACAGAAGTGTAGTTCAGCCCACGATATTTATATTAAGTCACAGGAAGGAAATTGCATGTTGGGGATACTAGGTATTTAATGTCAAGCATAAATGGAGTAAACTAAAACTAATTAGGTATATTTGAATAGTGAAAATACCGTAGTTTGTACATGTTTTCATGGTATTTGGATTAAGAATCAATCATACACATCGTGCAACCGCCTCCGCTCCCTATAGAGTATTCCAGGAGTCATGCAGCTAATCTAGCGTTAATCGGTTTTCATTCCAAATAATTTGGCATCGTACTCAGATATCCATTGGTATACCTGGGTGGAGAGGGAGAAAGATAATGTGTCTCTCCCAAAGAGACATCAGTGTCTCTTATAGATCATAATGATTCGATTAGAAGCCTAAATAATTAATGCAGGACCGCAATCTTGCATATCAATCATAGTTATCCTGGAATCATAGTTATGTTCTGTTATAAGATAGAATATACTACAATTTACAGTACTACAGTTTTTCCTCCACTTCAAGACCACCTTTGGGACGTGAAGTGTTTTTGGGATTCAGTCTCCAATTAGAGGGTTAGCTTTGTCTTAAAAAAATGAAAAGATTGTTGGTTCTTTGTAAAACTGGTCTCAAATTAAAGGGATCTCAGAATTACAAGGATCTTGAATTGGAGGGTTCACTGTATTTTTAATTGCTTTAATTTCTATAATTTAAGTTAATTTAGCTTTCATGAATTTCCTTCCATTTAATCAACGCATTCATAAATAATGTTGTGTTATTTATTACGTACCTTTAAATTGGTAGTTAATCAATTTTTTAGTAAAAAGGAAATCAGCAAAAGCAATATTCCTAATTTAAAATTGATAATTTTAAAATTGTTTTATTATATATACAGTGGACCCTCTAATTCGAGACCCCTCTAATATTTGAGACCCCTTTAATTTCCGAAACCCCCTAGTTTAAGACTACTTTTACTGTACAAAGAACCATATAAGACAAATCTAACCCTCTAATTGGAGACCAAATCCAGAGACCACCCAAAATTGTCAGGTCCCAAGGGGATCTGGAATTGGAGGGCAAACTGTATTTGCATTCTTACCAATTTTTCTAGATTTTGATTAGGGATAGTCTATCTTAAATACAGTCATGGAATAATGTATTAAGAGTTATTAACAGCGTACACAAATCTAAAAAGTATTTCTTGTTACATCAAACAATAGGGTTTAAGGCCATCTCTAAGATTTTTGTTGAAATTTATTTCAAACAGTTATCTAGTAACTGTACAGTAATGAACATGTGCAAAATTTTTTTAAATCCTACTCTAGGCCGTTTTGGAATTATGGCCTTTCGGAGTTGAGGTTCTCCAACCCTTTGCATGATTCAAGTTATTTAATATTTTTGCATTTTGTAATGCCCTTTACAAACTTTCCAGAAAATTTGTTTGATATTGAATGGCCCATACATATATTGTACTTAATAATATAGATAATAAAATATATTTTTAAAGTGCACATCTCCACCTAAATATCTGTGTCTTGAAAATGTTCTTTTTTCAAACTTCAATATCATTTTTTTCCCTTACGCTTTCTTTTCATTAAAATCTTTCCTTAAAATTTCATCTTTTACATGTGTATTTTGAAACTAGCAAAGTGATACAATTACCACAATAGTACATTATTTCACCATTCAAACATAGCAATTATAATGTATGTTATGTTGCTACTCTCAGCGATTGTTGATACAAACACTAATGTTCATGATGTTCTTTTCATTAAAATCTTTCCTTACAACTTCATTTACATATGGATATTGAAACCAACAAAGTGATCGATTTACCACAATAGTACATTATTTCACCATTCAAACAGCAATTATGTATTATGTTGTTGATCCAAACACTAATGTTCATGATGTGTATACGTGAACAGTATTATATGTTAATCAGTATTTATTTTCCTAAGAAACTTCCAGTATCTATTTTGTCTTTCATGTGCCGTATTATCATAATTACTGTAAATACGTGAGGGTAGACAAGTGAGCTGGTAAACATATGATAGTCGGGTCTAATAAAAGGTTTTATCGCAAATTTACAGCTGTTGTATGCAGTAGTGTTGGATGCTATTTTAAGTTTAACAAATAAATGATCCTAGCCAGTGGTGGGTTTAGGAATTAATAAAATAGAGGGGGCCCAGGGAGGCACTTTCACAGGCAAAGGGCCTACTGTAGATCACTTAGCCCTAACATGGTATAAAATAGTATAAATGTACAGTATGTAAACACTGTTTGTGTGACAACATGTGTTTTTGTTGGTCGCACTGTTCTGATTGGTCATTTGTTCAGTTTAATTAACACTGTGAAAAGGTCCATTGGTCAATTCTAGGGTTCTGAGGTCAAATCTTGTCAGACACCAGAAATATTCTCCATCTAAAGCATTTCAACCCTCTAAACTTCATAAAGAGAGTTATTTCCTATTGCTGATCAATTATAAATAAATCATTTTCCATTTTTCTACCTGTGCCCCCCTCCCAACTGTTCTCTTTAAGAAAGAATGGTCTAGTCCCCTTACCAACGAGTAGATTACCATATCAAGTTTATAAAGCAACATTCCATCCTATAATTGACATGTACATTATTCATTCATTCATAATGGTATATTTATTAATATAATCATCTTCACAGAAAACTGAATTGTGATAACTTTTTACATAAAATCAGTTAAGCACAACAATAACATTTTAGAAGTGGTAAAAAGACAATTGCTGTTAAGCTTTGTCTACACTGTCACACTTTATTGAAAAATAAATGCGATATGCCCATATTTGGGTGTAGTATCACCATGTCCATATATGGGCACATCACACAAATTTGTCACATAAATATTCATTGTGAGGACAGATCTTTAGATGTGAAGGAATTAATGATGAACAACAAAAACTAATTCAGACAGTTGTTCTATTTGAATTTCTAGATCGTAAGTTAACACCAAATGGTAGTAACCCCAGTGGAGCTGCTTTGCAGGCAAGACAGAAACCGCTGGAAGACAGCTCATCAGAGAACATCCAGAATGAACGGGATTGTAACAGTTCCGAGGAGGAGCTCCTGAACATTGAAAAATTACAAACAGACAATCCGATAACGGCGAAACGAAAATGGTCTCGTGTTAGTCGTTGGAGCATCAGCGGTGACAGCAGTTCGGGAGACGAGGAGATAAAGGACTTGATCAAACCTGTCCCGCTAAAGTTTAGTTCATCACCCCCACACCAAATTCAAAATATTAAATTCCCCGATAACAAAACAGCAATCTTCCTTGCTAATGTTGGACCTGCGATAGATTCTGTGTCACCTAGGAAACGGTGTAGAGCAGACAGTTTCAAACAAAGGCCAAGCCTGGATTTTGAGAAGATGCAGCAGGTAGGAGAAATTCTAACATTGGTTCTTTTCCTCCCAGCTACTCACAGATCTTTGGTATATTTCGACATGGGTCGGGACTGATAGGGAATCGGAGATTAAGTGAAGGGGTTCCATGGTTAAGTGCAGGGTGCTAGTTGTTAAAAAAGGTAATGTGAGGTGACTTAACTAGTTGAGTGTAATTTTTTGATCAGAAAATTTTGACATTGGGGGGTGCATGCCTGAGATTTTTAGAATGGTGTGAACTCCCTCTTGTAAAAATGCCACTCTTTACAGGACAATGTAGGACTTGATATAATCAGTATAATTCATCCCAGTCACTATCATATTACATTTTTAGAGCACTTTGACAATTTGCCAACATACATTTTGGTGACATATGTTCATATCAATTTTCTCTTGTTTAGCCCATCATGGACTGAAAATCACAAGGACAATAATAAGAAAGTTATATGTGTAAACATGTATTACAGTGCAGAAAATATTTGAATGGGAGTAGCCTATGTATTTGGCTATAGTTGTTGTTTGGGTTGTTTTGTAAAAGTTTCTGTTAAATTTTGTGACCACTATGCCATTGCATTTATACCAATTAATTATTCTTTCATGTGAAATTCTGTTTCTATAAAGGTTGATTCATAATATTACTGTATGTGCTTTCAATTTGAGTTTTGCAGTGTAAGGAAAATATACAGCTTTCATTATTATTACCATTTCTTGAAAAATATTATAGAATATTATTATTATTTCAATTATAGTATGAATACCATATTATGATCATGAACATAATTATTATTATTATTTTAATATATTTTACAGAAAACTATTGTAAAAAAGAGATGCCCGTACGGAGTTAGAGCAGCACGAACAGTGCGCATTAGGGTAAGTTGAACCATAAAAAAAATTATTACAGTCTTATCATTATTACAGTCTTATCAATTATTTATTTAACCTTTATACTGCATTGCCCTTTCAAAATAGGCTCATTTACTATTAAATTAAGTACATGTATGACGTATATGATAACATTTAACAATATGAATAACAAAAATCGGCCTCATACTATTGTTATACAGATGGCATTGTTGTTTCTATCTATTATCATTTATCAAATAACAAGAAAGCAAAACCAAAAAATAATCATTCCATTTATGTCAGTTATTTCCTAATTGCAATGTCAATGTCAAATGTAAAAATTTAATATAATCAATGTGTTTCTGGAAAAATTGAATACCAGGAAAATTGCTTGAAATATCATTAAAGCAACACTTTTCATTCAACTTTTTTTTTTAATCAAAAATAATAGATGGTTACTGTCATTATGAAGTGTTACATGTTTATTTGATAATTTCTATGGGCCTGCTTCTAACAAAAATTATAGATGGATCCTACTTAGATTCTGAGTTAGGCAGCCAGGGTTGTTCTTTTTTCTTTTTCATTTCATGTTTGTTAGATTGACCAATGGTATATAGAGAAGTAAGAATGCCAGTTGGAAAGTTAAACATCCAGAGATACCCCATCCTGTGATTCTTTGTCATGCAGTATATTCAATCAAATATATTTGTAGAGCCAATTTGATCTAGTTTATTATTCAGGTGTCCTTTGGTTTATTGGTCATTGGATCCATTTATGCACGCAACCTTCTCCACTCCCTAGGAAGTATTCCGGCTGTGCTGCACGAATCTGCCCACAGACTAATTCACTATCTAACCAGGTACCCAGTTAACTCCTGGAGTGTGTTTCTGCTACCAAACGTCAAATAACAGATTTAGATTTTAATTGGTTCATCCGATGTTATCCATTTCCCTGACATTATTTCTACCAAGTTTCTGCTCCCCAAAATAACTGGCTTATCAGCTTGTGGCCACGGTCAAATTAAATTACCCATAAGGCAGTTCGTAGTTCGGATTACAACAGGACAACGCATTACATCAAATGTCTGCCTCACATCAAAATGATCCTGTTGGCAAGCTTACTGCTTGTGCTGAGCTAAAGAAATTCAATTGAAACATTGAAATACTGTACATTTTGACCAATCAGGCACATATCAAATCAATTTATTTTTTATGAGTCATAGATTTTTACTATGAAAATTCCTTAAATTACCCATCATTTGAAAAATCTGGCAAATATACGGAATTATTATTTTCGTGTCCGAGTTGGTTAGAAAATATTTTCAATTTCTAATTTTTAATTGAAAACTAATAGCAAATTTGAGGTCATAGGTTATTTGTAATTCGGTATTGCATAACCTGTATATTGGTAGCTCTGTACATCCAGAAAGTCATCAGTTATCAACTATTTAATAATAAGGTTTAACAAATTTAATTAAAAATGATATATATCATGATTTAATTATATTTTTTTGACTTGGGAAGAAAAATAATACCTTTATCGGTAAATTTAATTTTTGAATTTTAATTATTCGACAGGAGTATGAAAATACAATCAACTCAGTGATTTCCATAAGCAAGTGTTGCTGTGGTGCTTAAAGAGGCTCATTAGGTTTTCAATCGTTGTGTAAAAAAATCCTTGTGTTTAGCAGGATTTATAGTAATCCTGGCCCTTGGGATTGAAGCTGAGCATTAGCCATTACACTACAGAAATCTAAAATAATTATAAGTATAATGATCGCAAGTGAATATTTTTAGAAGGACTTCAGACTATAAAATAGATTCAAAGATGATAGTGGTTTGGTAAATGTAGATTTCAGCAGGTCCAAAGCTCTAAAATCTAAAAATCTAAAAATGTGAGTATTAGGCATTAAGAATATAGTATAAGCTAGGGGAACATACAGTTACATCTTTGCCAGTGAAATATAGGAAGTTCTAGGCCAGGGACAACATGCTAACAGTACTACTCATTCGTTTTTGTAAAGGCCATGGACAACATATGGTTGTGCCAAAAATTAGCTTCTAGTCTATTATAGGCCTGAAATAGGGAAATCATCTATTAAACCAATTATACAGTAATTTCAATTCTACTACGGTCTCCATTGCATGCTAGAATTTAAAACCAACTGCCATTGTATTCAGTTTTGTTTGATGTTAAATATTTTAGTTTAATAATAATAATAACAGTAACACAGAAATTTGTATTCTGCATTTTAGTCTAGGGATACTGGGAGCTATTATTACCCCTGTTCATTAGATCCATATTAACTAACTGACACACAGTACAACCTTCTCCACTCCCTGTATTCCTACAGTAGTTGTGCTGCAATTTACAGTAATACCCACATTCAGTGCCATAACAACCTACCAGGTACCCAGTTATTTAGGTGGAGAGAAGCGTAGATAAAGTGCCTTGCCAAAGTACACAAGCAAAATGCACAGCGAGGGCTCGAACCCCTGACCTCAAAGTTGATAGTCTGAAACGCAAGCACTGTGCCATCAGCTCCCACACAATTAATCCAGCTAATTGTTCTTGTCTATTGTTAATATAATATTTTGTTCCTAATTAATGAAATGTATGTAATAAATATGGATGGATAATAATAGGCTGAAGAATCATGGAAATCTTGATTGTTTCATTATTGAATATTCATTTGAAAACTAATACAATTATGTAATCACCATGATATTTAGACACATGTGATGTAATTAAATTTAGCATACTAACCATCAGAGATAAGAATCTTTACTATACAGGTTGGAGAAAAACAAAATGAGTCACAGCAGTATAGTGTATAAATCAAGTATTGTAGGCATGCAAGTAACCTTTAAATAATAAATTATGTAAATATGAGTGTATGCTGAACTAAAAAAAAAAAATTGAAGTCGACGTTGTATAGAGAATTACCTTAAGTAACTCTCCCTAGACTAATGCCGAACTTCAATAGAACTGTACACTGCACCTGTTTGTTTAGTGTGAATGTGTTTTTTTCAAAAGAGAGTTGGGGCATTAATACAAAACTTATTTATTGCCAGAGTAATCATGCTTTAATGTCTACACACCTTAAATCCTGTTTTTAGACTTAAATTTAAGTATATGATAAGTAGAAATATCATAGACTGTTTGTTTAGTGTGTTATGATTTTACAAACGAGAGCCAGAGCATTACAAATCTTATTATTGTCAGAGTAATCTTGGTTTAATGTCTACACACTCTAAATGTGGTTTTTAGACTTAAATTTAAACCTATTTTTAGCCTAAAAAGCTATGGTTAATCAGAAAATCTAGTTATAAATGAAGTTTATATAATTGAAACTATATTTTTTGAATATCATATGTAATATATTAAGCAGTCTAAGGATTTTTTTTTGTCTGTTCAATACTATCATCATATAAAATTAATATTTATTTGAAGTGTCGATTCAATTAACACATTAATATCTCATTCAAAATAATATAGTTTAAACTTTCAATATAGACAGATCAAAGAAAAATATTTTTTTGTATTATTTACAGACATTACAATAGTTATTAAATTAATTACTAGCCAATTTATAGGTCTATAGTAAGCATTGGATGATAGCCCTAGTATTAGTATTCATGGCATGCATAAATTGACATGGACATTTTTTTCTTACATATTTATACTTGATAAACAATGCTATTATTTGTTAACTCAGCTCACACAGTGTAGTATATTTTTCCTTAAATTTATGTTTGATTTACAAAGTGTTGGAGTGTACTTATGGTAACCTCTCATGTATTTCTGTATGTTTTATTTCCTCCTCACACTTTTATCTTCCAACAAAGAACGTTTCATTTCCTCTGGTCTAGCTCTGGTTTTCAGCTAAAACTGCAATTAGATATTCCGTGAAATATACTGTACTGTTTCTTTTTGTTTACTAGCCATATTGGTTTTCCCCTGGTGTTTTAATCCCCCCTGTTTCCTTCATGATAAGCAAACTGTGCTCTTTCATGTTGGATTTATGCATCATACCTACTGTATGTTTAATAAATATTGCATTTCAGTTGTTGATGGAGGCATAATGACTGTATTATATAATTATTTTATAATATCTACAGTATGAATAATATTGTCAGATATGATGTTTTGGGTCTCTTTTCAATGTTGAAATTGGATTTTTTTTACCTCCTTTGTTCATGACTGTATTATGTAATTATTTTTATAATATCTATGAATAATGTTGTGAGATATGTAGCAAAGACAAGCCAAACCAGTCCTGTTTCAGAGATATTGTCTAAAACATGCTCGAATGTCAAATTTTTTGAAATCTATTTTATTGTATGTCATTGTACGTATTATACGTCATGCTATGCTGTTTTTTTTGTTTTTTTTAAATTATTTTCAAAATTTATAAACAAAACAATTTATAATGATTTGGTGATAGTTTCTGCCTGAGAAATGCCCAAAAATCATAAATTTTGAAGGGTGATTTCTCAATATTGTTCCTTAAACAGCTGTATGTTTAAACGCTTGTCTTCTTAAGAAAATTTTGGATTTAAATGATTCTTTTATCATTTTATAGCTCTCACTTTGCTGTTTAAGTCTGTATTAATAACTAAAAATGATTTTTGCGACGAGTGACTGGTTTGGCTTGTCTTTGCCACATATGATATTTTGGGTCATTTAGAATCCTATGTACAGAAAATGATTAATTTAGCTTTTAGGTAAAATACTGTATTTATCTTCAGCATCCTCATCTCTTCTGATTTGTTGTGTATGGCTTTGCCTTGGAATTTATTTCATGCAAGGGAATAGCCTGGTTTTAATGGGGGGTGGGGGTTGCAAAACAGCCTGGGGTGCGAAAATTGAGAATTCGGACTAAATCACACTTAGTGAAACTAATTTTCTGTCATAGAGGGGTCTGCCAATACCTCCAACTACCCCCCACCCCCCAAGCCAACGCCCATGTCACGACATTATATCAAGGGTATTGTGACTTCAACCTGGATCCCAGTGAGTAAAACCAAAAGAGGCTGTGATATTAATGCCTTTGTAGTTGAGAAAACAATATTGAGTGCAGCAGACAATAAATGCTGCTTAAGTACATGTTGCTTATCGTTAACCAGTGTGTTTTTTATTCCTCAGAGTGTCAGCAACAACAACAGCCGTATTCCTCCGAGACTCCTGTGCGACCCAGCCATTTTTTCATTTCGATCACTGAGCACAATCAGCCCAATTACTCCAGTTGAAGACTCTGGTGCACTAACTGCTTGTTAGGTATATCTAGTAGTGTCATGAATAAAATTAGCCATGTCATGAATAAATTAGCCATGTCATGAATATATTAGTAGTGTCACAAATAAATTAGCTGTGTCACAAATATATCGTGTCACAGAAAGCTTGTGTCACAAGAAAATTTAGTCCAGATTTAAAGAAAAACATTGTTGTTAATCATTGGACGGATAACTTTGCAAGAGGGGTGGGGGGGAAATATTGTGTGTGAATGCGTATATCATTGGATGGAGGTGATGAACAGTACGGCGTGTGTGATTTGCTATATAACTATTGACAGATTTTTATGAATAATCACTTGACTGTTATGTTTTTTGGAACATGAACGAAATCTACCTCTTTTCAAATTGTAATAGTCAAAATTTAAAGTGGTTTTTTTTTCTAGATATATTTTTTATGTTATATTCAATTGTGTAACATCACATTCCTGTACTAGTTTTCTATGGTGAATACAGAACAACATATAATAGAAGAACAGAACCAGAAAATAATTTGTATATGTATGTATATATATTTGTATATCCATAAATATAAATATATATATATATACTGTCTCTTATACACATCTAGATGTGTATAAGAGACGGTTCATTGAAATTTTATTGCATAAGAGGTCTTAAATGGTAATTTTGTATCTATAACACTCTAATATTGTTCACAGGGACAATGCCAGAGTGCTAACTACCTTAAAAACAAATTGCGAAGAGCTCTCGTCTATTTTTGCCCTGATATGTGTGCTGGTATTCTGTCTAACAGCTAAGTCCCATATTTTCCAAATGCTTATTCTTTGTATTAAGCATGAAAAATACCAGCTGTAAATGGTTTAGGTTAATTATAGTGATTGGTGTTAAGGCCCTTTTCCACAGGACGCAGTAGCAGACATTTGCAAAATGCTGTACTTGCAGTTTCTACTACGAATGGTTAATTATGACCAATCACGAGCAATTTACAGAATCGTTTGTCTTCTGCCATAAGCCTAGGCCACTCATCCTAAGCCTTGACCTCGTAAACCATGTAATAATGACAGTTTGAGATTAGATAAACTGTCTATATATCAAATCGTACTGTAAAATGTTTTGCTTGAAAATTCCAGAACATTGTGAGTACATAGTGCTTAGTGTAGTTTATTTTTTACGCAACAAGTTTTGACGCCACGCCAATGAATATATACATGCACATAACATCATTTTGCTCATAGTTTATGGTATACACTTTTGGCGTTTGATTAGCATGTATTATTATAGGTTCTATATATTTATACCGTTACTGCGTCCAGTGGAAAAAAACTTGCCTTAAAAATACATTTCAAAACTTGTACATTTGATAATTGATATCATTACTGTTCCTATTATTTGGATAAAGAATAAGATGTATATTATAATCAGTCATCAAGTTAACCAGTAAATTTCACTTATAGTTTTTGTATTAGGCCTTTACTATTATAAAGACAGGCTTGCATGCTAGTAAGGCCAGCTTCAGAAAATGGCTCTTTACTATGGAAGCAAGTGGCCATATTTTACTAGTCTCATAATATATTATTGTGTAATTTAGTGAAAGGTGAAATGGCATGCTGAAATTTTACAGTTCAGATGATTTTTAAATCATGGATGTATAAAGCGATCTATTTACATTTAAATATTAATAGCTTTCTGAAACTTAACGAATGACGACTTGGTTTTTTATTTCTTGTTAAGCCGGACATACACTGCGTCGTACAACCGTTTGGCCAACAAATCAATCGCCTCGCTCATCGAAATCTTGACGACGTGACATCGTCTGCTGATTGCATTTCCCATCCCATTGCACGTGCCTTGTTGCGTTGTGTGCGGAATTGCCTTGGCTGACGAGTGTGTGCCCAGCTTTAGTAGTCTTACATGTGTTGGTCATGGTGAGCCTAGATTTATACTTGAGCTCTACCATCTGCAGTTGGCTGTTGCTGTTGTAAATATTTATCAAGGATGTTCGGAATTGAAGAAATTATAGGCATTTTCAAGGAGGAGCCAAGCCAGCCCAGGGGCACCCCCACCCCTATTTTTTTCAAAGTTTTTCAAAAAATGAGGGGAAAGAAAATTATATTCAAATTCTTAAGGCCAACTCAGACAGCGTCGGCCGACGCAGCCCGACCCGATTTATCGTCGGGGACAGTATTAAGCCGTCGTGAGAAATATTAAACATGTTTAATATTCTACTACGCGACTGCCCCCGACGCACACCATCGCGTCTGCGTTCAACTCACACAGATCCGACGCAACAAAAAATCGCGTCGGGCTGCGTCGTACGACGCTGTCTGAGTTGGCCTTTAGTCTGATGTGCCAAGGAACCTCAGCCCCATGGTTGGTCTGGACCCTCCATCTCTAAAATTTATTTTTTGTGCCCCTCTATGGTGAATCCCTGGATTTGCCATTGGGCAGAGTGAGAAGGAAGTAGCTGTAATTTGCAATCAAATTGGTATATTCCCTTCAATTTTTCAATGCCTTTGGGAATTTGGGAAGCTTGTGAGTAATAATCATTTAATTGCAAACACTTGGTAATAATAGTGATTAAATGAATACAAAAATTTAGTAACAAATTTTATTAGAATTGAAAAACATTTCTTGTATTGCAGTGAGTCGTGCCCACACTATATTGGTCGATTGATTGATTTTCTGAGTGAATGATATAATATTGATTGGTTTGTTGATTAATGAATTGAAACAAGTATGCACATCTGACAGAAGAATAATCAACTTTTTTCAATTTTACTAAATTTTGGTAAGTGCCGAAATGCCGCCTCGTATGAATTGCTGTAGCCTGTCGACTTTTGCTGGTGAGCCTGATTGTGGCTGCAAGAGATTGGAGCCTTCTGGGAGGAATCTGGATCCCTTCGATGCACTGTCCATACTGCAGATCCAGAACATCATTTCGCGTCTATCTTGAGCTTGAAACAGATATTGGATTCCATTAGCCAGCCTAGAATATAAGCACCACTTTAAACGTAATAGGTTAGTATACCAATTGCCCTATTGTTCGCAAATAATATGCTGCTATAGAAAATAATACCGGATGCAAGAATTATGAAAATGTGTGCTAAGTAATTAATCTTTACCGAACTCTGAAGACATTCTTCCTCTTGGAGTAATCAACTGCTTGTGTCACAATCGCTTTTCGAAGGTCATACACTGGATTATCTTTGTGGCTCTTCTTCTTCTCTTGCTTTTTATTATCATAAAATGACAAGTAACCTTCACGCTGGACAACATAGACATAATGCCAAGACCTGTAACAGTGTACAAATCACACAATCAAAATTGAGCAGATTTTAGTAACAGGGGAATGGTGGGTGAAGGTTTGAGTTTTACACATGCAGCAGAATCGTGCACCAGATGAAGTTTTGTGGTATGTTAATCCCTAGAGCAATATGGTTAATATTTCTTGGTCAATAAGCATACAATTTTTACAAGAAGTAGTGCTATGTGGTGTTCTGCCATTTCTAAACAACTTAGTAGATCACTTTTTAGACCCAAGAAACCAAATCATGTCCAGCTTACCTGTCCCGTGCTTTCATGAAATGGTTATCTAATTCCTGCTTTCTCAGTAACAATCCTTCTGCCAAATCGTTTTCGCTGTATTCGCTTGTCTTTATGAAGTTGTTATTGACATGTTTTGCACCTGCATCACAAGATGAAATTTCACCAAACGATGACGATTGTGCTATAAACGGTCGAGCTTTAAAGGTGATTGGACCACTCGACAGACTGCTGAGGTCGTCATCCGTTAAAACTCTCTCCGGTTCTAGATTGTCACCCGTTAAAACGCCCTGTCGATCCCGATCATCAATGGCAGAAAGCCCTAATGGCTGATTCTGATAGTAGTCATCGTTGAAAGACCTCTTCTGAGGATCGTATTCACTGTAGTCAAAAAGACGACGTGTACGCATTGCTGACTTGCGAACATCGTCATTGCGTGCGTCTTTCTCATGAGTGTTGCGAGCAACATATTTGCATTCCTGGCTATCAGAACTGTAAACGCCAATTTTATGTTGGCCCTCCAATGCTTGATATCTGCGGATATATTCCTGTTCAGGTGAAGAATCACCTTTCTGGACGGGGTCTGGCGACTCAGGTCCGAGCTCACTGGTTGGAACGCATGGCTCTGGTGACACAACGTGTTTTAATGTATCAAGGAGGATTTTGTGTGCCTATAAGGTAAGGGAAATTCTTTACTCATAAAGATCTTCAGTTGATTAGAGAAAGAAAATATTTCATGTAAGATATAACAAAGATAAGTAAGATAACCCTAGAGTAGATTCACACCGAATCCGAATTTGGTGTGAATCTACCGAAATCGCCAAAACCTTTAGATTTAGCAACTTAAACTGACTACAAATACCTTAACTACAGCACAGAATACTTACCAATAGTTGACTTTCTGTGTCATGAATTCGATTCTTCACGGAGGAAATAAATGAACAACAAATAAATTATTTAAAAAAATCGGTATATTTTGAAAACATATTTTCGTGGCGGTGATGAATACATAATTATGATAATAATACGATAATTATGATAATAATGATAATATTATCATTATTACTAATAATATCAATAATTATGGAAATATACGGTAGTAATAGTAATAAATTGATAACAATATGATATGGGATCAAGGTACTGGAGGGATAAATGCTGTTAACAGGGACAAGGGTTTTGTAGAGGATGGAGCGTCAGGCTGATGCAGACCTGTTTAACTTTCAAACACACGTGATAGAAGTTGTAGTAGCTTATAATTACTGTATTGTCATTCATTTTTTCTACTTATTAAGCCTTTGTCTCACACCATCAATTGCACATTTGATATGTTTGGACTGGAACCAAATAATTCAAATCAAATCTTCAATAAAGAGTACCGGTACGTTATATATAAACTAACCAGCTACTTGAACTAACCTCCTTTCCTCTAAGAAGATCTTTCAGTTTGTTTATTTTCTGACGTAGTTTTCGACGATCGTCGTTCATCTTCTTAATTCTTTTCTGTAATGGCGCAACACTACTTTCTACCAATGCTGTTTGTTTCTCATGCAATTGGCTGTATTCTACTTCTAGCCCATCCTATACCACATAGATTTTCATTTTTAATAATGTCTGTAGGCCAAATACATCAACAAACCTACTCCTATTTAATCACCACATACCAGAGTACGGTATCATACGACGCTCGATGATTTTATGAACCAAGTAGGCCCCATATAATTATGGCAAAAGCAACTCATAATCATCATTCACACTCGCAGTGGCGTATCTAGCAGTATTAAAACTGTCTCTTATACACATCTAGATGTGTATAAGAGACAGCAACTCACACAGATCAACGTACCAATACAGGAAGAAACTATGTGAGAAAAAGCTGGCGCCTCGGACGATCAGATGATTGGGAAAGATTTGGAAGACGATCATCTAATCAGCCAACAAGCCACAGCTCCACTTACAAAATATTTAAATATGAGGGGTATGTCAATTTTTCTAGTAACATAATTAAGTTTCATAGGCGTTGTCACATAGGCCTAGAAATCAAACCACCCACGGCCTGGTTGACGAAGGATTTACCTTTTGTCTTGTCATTTCAGCTAGATCTAATTGGGTCTTCCGCATATGTTTCTCAATCGCTGCAATTCGATGATCCTTTTCTTTCATCTCAACTATTGTCTTTTCCAAGTTCCTTTGTATTAATACTATATATGATTAATGAAAAATAAATTTAAAAAAAATTAAATTGATGATTCCCAACAATTCCTACCAATAAAGTACAAGTGCAAAGATACAAGCCCGTATTCATCTACCTGTTAGAAATGTAAGCAACCTGACTACTCTCCACCTGATATTTTTTTATGAGATGCATTGTGTCCAAGACGTGCACGAGCAGTTTTTCAAACTGTGGATACACGCATGTCCCCAGCCAGGAATGTTAGGTGTGACTTTTGTAGTGTTTATTCAAAAATCTATTTACTTTTTTCATGTTCAATTTTCGTGCTTTGAATCATACATTTGCATATCTGCTCTGTCATCTTTTGCATATGGAACTCTTTCTCTCGACATTGCTGTTGAAGCTCCTGTAACTGAAAAAAAAACATCCAAAAAACTATTATTATGCCTATTTGGGCCCGGGAGCTCCGATTTTAAAATATGATGTCCTTAAAAACATCATTGATGCTAAGCGTGATAAAATCGGTACATTCTGTCGCGGACAAAGTTGTCGGCGACGCTGATTGGTCGGTGGAATTGGGGCGCCTTCGTAATTGCGTCATGGACAGCTAGGCCAACGCATTGTACGAATAGCAGTGAAAAGACAAGCGATTTTATGGAAACCACGCTAACGTACAACGTTTAGCGATTAATCACGGTTTTCGTTTAATGAACTGCGTCCTTTTTAAGACTGGTATTCATTCAGTGTATAGAAATACAACCAATCATTATCAAATGTAGACTGTATGTCACCTTTTGTCAAAATTTTCCGGAACTTTCTTACTTAACAAAATGATTATCAAAGCAATATCAAGTTTTAGTGTTTGCTTACTTGTTTCTGTAAGGTCTTCTGGTTTATCTGATACTCTTCGATGAGCCGAGCAATCTCATCATTCTCCAACAGACCTGCCCCGCATTGAGGAATTAAAAAGAAATGAACAATTTTTTTTTAAATTATTGAACAGATCTTAGATTGTCGACCCAATCCAAAAGCAATGATATGTGGCGGTACTTTAACGTGTACCGTCATAATGCTTTAAAGAAACCTACCATTGGTTTTATCTGCAATACTTTCCCGGAATGGAAATTGGGCAGCACAAGGCACTAACGTCAACATCGTTTGGGTAGAGTTGCTTTGTAAATTCCCATCGCAGTGGTTGGGATGAATGCGTTCGTAATGTAAGGGAGGGTTTGGTACATCTTCCTGTCTATTAGAGAGAATTGGTCACCATTTATAGCGGAGTATCTAAGTGGTATACTCTCCTCTACTCCAATGGTTACTCCCCTGGGCGCCTCTTGCTGGAGTTGACTATCCCCATCACCTCATTCTTCCAAGCTCCCCCGGCCCTAACTATTCCATCGTCCGTCCTGGCCGATGACAAAGGCTCAGTATAAGCGCACTGAATTGAAGAAATACTCGGGCCGATCCCACTGGAAATCATCATCATTCACCATCTTCATGACTATCAATCATCATCATCATCATAACACCATCATCGCCATCAACCATTATCATCAACATCATTATCATAATCATCATCATCGTCATCATCATCATCGTCTTCATATTCATGAGATGAGTCATTATCATTATCTTCATCATTATCATTATCATCATCTTCTTCGTCTTCTTCTTTTATATTATATCTTACTTTTCAGTCGGATACTTGACAGTCGTTTCATCAAATTTATGACAACCTTCTGAATCTTTTAGCTGAAATTCAAATACCAACGCTTTATTTTAATAAACAAAACTATTTTACAACAATAAAAATAAGATATTTTAGCAGGTTAACATTGTTTACAATATAACAATAACGGTCTACAGAACTATTACCGCTATGAAATCTCGAAGTTGACTGTTGTTTCTTGACGGAAAATTATGTTTGAGAAACTCATTCACTTCTGGCAGGCTTCCAGTCCGCGTGGCAGATACGTTAACTTCGACAGGTGTATTTCCCTCATCCGAAGCGGCCTCTTTGATGTTCACCGACGAAGCACTTCTTGAACGTCGGCTCCCCTTGATATCAATAACATTTCGCTTACCGGCATCGGGTCCACCGTTATTAATACGATCCTCACCCGATTCGATTTCTGATAACTGCTCTGCTTCATCCTTCAATTAAATTATATTATTTAAATAGGCCTAGGCTAGGCCTTGGTTTTTGTTTTGTTTAAATATAATAAAGTCTATGAGTATGAATTCTTTGGTGAGGCTTTTTATAGGGCTTGATTGAGGCTGGTCTATATGTGAGCTAATTCTATGGATGTTTGGGTGGGGTTTCCCCATAGGAGCAGTTTTCCCTTCTTACCTGAATTCGTTTGTCACCACTTGCTGTTGTCATTTTGTTGAGTAGGCCTACGTATCATCTTGCGGCTGGATATAATTTGTTTTTATTTCAAAGATTCGGAATGGTAGGCCATGATGCGTGCGCGATTGCCACCTTATTCGATCGGAAGCGTTTGGAAACTTACGCATCGAGCTACGGGTACGTATGGTAACCGTTCGCGCGTTTTTGTCAGTTTCGCCCCACCAGGAGAGCAGTTAGACTTCTTTTAGCAAACTCCATAATTTATTTTATTGTATATGATACTGATGATGATATGATAATGATTGTGCTGCTGAGGATGATGATAATAAAGATAATGATATTATTATAATTACCTCTATATTATTTTTATGTTATTATTCTATAGTCCACACTAATAATAAAAGAGTATATGTGTATTAATAGTCGTATTATAAATTACATCAGAGCATCAGAGAAAAACCTGTTATTATTGTAATCATTATTTAGGACTGTATCATTAATATTTATTAATAATTATTTTGTGTGTGGGAGGGGGGGGGGCACCTGAGCTACCGTTTACTACCGTTTTGAGTTCCTATCTAATGCCATTAGCTTAAAGACACCCATCCCCATCCCCCACCTCTAATGTTTATGAACTTTGACCTCTTGCGCAGTCGAATGAATTCAGTCTTTTGATCCACTACAGTATAGAGTGGATACAGCAGGGACTGTTTATTTTGTTTTAGATACAGTCTAGCCGAGGCATAGTAGTTTGGAACAAAACCTTTGAAACTGATAATGATGGAGACATGTACATATGTAGAGACTCCTAATTATCGACGGTATGATCTTATTGCTTTGCATACACGTTCAGATTTAGTAGAGTCATGTGTAGCCCTGCTGAACAGTGAATGGTCTCGCAGTCATGCTGCAAGGTAAGAAAGAAGGACGATTCTATATGTGTGTAGGCCTAGCCTAGATTTTTTAGCTTAACTAGGCATACAGCCAGCCCTGCCCTGCTAACCAATGATATGTCATGCAGTTTGGGTGCTGATGGGACAAAGTTCATCCACTTCAGAGTTTTTTTGATGGCGCATTTTGATGTTTTTTACATGTTTTGCTACGGCCCGATTTTTAGCTGAGTTGGGGTTGGACCATGGTGGTCACACTGCTGGTAGTTGCAAAAAAGTGATAATAATAACCTCAAATTAAGGTCCAGGCTCCCTGGCTTTAGCCTGTAAGAACTCATAGGCAGGCCACTGTTCGTATGTTGTATTATAATTTTTGTTTTTAAGGGTTGGTCTCATACTGTAAAGTATATTAATTGTGCATATGATACCTAAAAAACTAGCTCAAATTTGCACAGAAAATCTCTACGAAAATAGGTTTAGAATTTCGTAATAGCTACATAATACACTGGTTGCATATTAAGATTAGGTCCAAGTCTAATTTTCGGCAAAATATGTTCAGAAATCAGCACTTATTTTCAGAAATGCATGGATGGAATTTTAGGCCTAACATTTGCGCGGAGGATGTATTCCCCGCGCATGCCTTACTACAGTCTGGGGTTGGTCTACACACACATTACTAATCCTTGGGTAATTTTTGTTTTGTAATAATTAAATTGTTTTTCTTCTGCAAATCAAACATGAAAACAGGTTGCATTCACTGATCAAATCAAATGATTCTTTACCAGCATCTTTGGCAATGGTTGAAGTTGACATCTGCACACAGTCATGGGACACAGTTGGGCATAGCCGTTTAGCGAAGGTTGTTAATCAGCCAAATAGCGTTCTTGTTGAATCAGGTAAAGCAGCGTTCAAAATTTTTAATCCAATAGTTCCAATTTTTAAAAAGCTTAATTTGTTATTATTAATTATTCCTCTCATAAACATTCAGAATTTTTAATTTTCCGCACTTAATATCTGTGATAAAAAAAATGTTCAGCCAGCCATATTGTCTCAATCAGGATTCAAACCAAAGAATTTTTGAGTACATCTATGGTTTGTTCTTTGATATGATAACTCTATCATCAGTAGATGCTTATAGATACAGATGTTAAGTGGGGTGTGGCTCTTGTAGTTTACTTTTATGTCAATTTCAGTGAGTATATCTTTGTATCTGTTAGTGGTAGTGCAGAAATATAGACGGGGTGAGGGACTTGGAAAGATATTGATGAAGCTGACTGAAACTTGCTGCAAGAAAATGGGGTTTACTACGGTTTACCTGTCAACGAAAGATAAACAAGGGTTCTATAGTCACCTTGGGTACACTCTTTGCAACCCTGTCATTACCAGTGGAGCACAGGTATCTGACAATGAGCTATACTTTCCATGCTATGATTGACAGCCAATAACATGATTAAGATTTAGGGTGTTTACATTTTTAGTAGGCATCTGGATTAATACAGGCTATACCGGTAACTGTACACTCATTGTCTTGAGCTAATAATTTATATTTTTTTAAAAACAATAATTAACAATTTGTCAGATTGCGGCATCACAGCTGAATTTGAAAGCATAAGAGACATTGCTTCAAATCATTTAGAATGTTCAAATTGTTCGTTAATGTTTAAGTAAAGAAAGGTTAGTCTCATTTTAATATTTGTCGTAGAATTATATTCTTGTCAGCTGAGACTATGAATTATTCAATTCCCCATTGTGCTCCTTTGTGGGTCTAAATACAGTGTTTCGTGTACGCACAAACATCAACAAACCTTTTTATATAACGTCAAATCACTTTAATCAGGTATTGTAATTATATAATACAGTTTAATGTAATGTGAGATGAAAGTGGTTTAAAAACCATGTTTCCTTACAATGTAAACACACCTAACTAAACTCTGAATTTTAAACAGTGCATTTTTGAACATAATTTTGAAGCTCTCAAATTGCGCACAAGATTTCATATCAGCAAAGTGCGCAATTTCCTATACGCACACTAGCCATGGTGATGAAAAGTTAGAATTTCTTAAGTTTTGCCATCTATTATAGAGGGCGCTGTACAAATAACGTAATTATAAGAAACAAATTTTATTTTGATTTAATCATGATACAAGACTTAAAAAGAAATTGAGTCATTTCAGTTTTTGAATAAAGTTATAATATAATGAAATCAATTAAATGATGTTTGATTATTTTCTCCAGATGCTAAGTACTTGTGATTTAGGGACGGATTGTGAGTCTTCTTGTCAAAGTTCATCGACATCAAGTTGCTCAATGGGTAAAAATGCTGAAGTAGAAGCTGACAAAGAGGAGGTCGTGTCAGAGAACATCCCATCAGCAACACTACTGCCACCGCCGCCGCCACCACCACCACCACCACCACCCAATATAAATCATAAAGCAATCTGTCAAATTTGGATGAAAAAGGATATTTGAAAATTTGCTGAAGTACTAGAAAAAGTGCTGATAGATGCTTGCCTTTTTATTCTCATAATCATGTCAAATCTTTCCAGTTACCAGAATATTTATTTATTGTAATAATGAATTGTATATAATTTAAATAATTATAATTTTTAAACTTTCTAATGAGAATTGGTAATCACTGGTCAGGGATGTAGTTATGTTTGGTGGAGATGGGCGGGGCCACCCAGCTTTGAAGTTTTCCACCCTATCTAAAGCTAATTTCATGGCCCTCCACCCACCCAATTTTTCATTCTTAAAATCCACTCATATTTTTACCAATCTTATCACCCACCCACCCTAAAATATCTATAGTATTACCCATCCTTAGGTTTCTGCAGCTACAAGCCTGACTGGTGTACTTGTGGTACCATTAATACTTCATTCATAGTGTAGAATATTCTTATATTATAAATTTAAAATTGACAGTTGAGAATGTAATATAATCTGTGTGAGTGCTTGACTATGTGACCCCGTGTGCTGGTGGTCAGAGGCAGTCTGGGGCACCTTGTCACCTGTCTCTTATACACATCTAGATGTGTATAAGAGACAGCTTAATATCATACTTTTCTATAAAAAAAAAACACTACTGTATAGTTACTACAGTACTAATAATGACCAATGCTTTAAAAAAGGGGAGTGGGGGGGGGGAAATGTGCTTACCATTTGGAATACTTCTTCCATAGATTTTCCCATTAAGATTCTTATCAGTGGATTGGAATTATATGCAAAATGGAGAATTACGACCTCAATATCATATATGATATAATAAGTAGTAAAAAAAGAAGTGAAATGTGATTGTGCTTTTTATGATTGTATAAATAAAGTATAACTGAATTTCGTATTTTTTGGTATTTTATGAGTCAACAGCAGATCATTACATATAATCAATAGCATGTAAATCGGATAGTTGCGTCGGTATCCCGGATGAATAATTTTACTGTACCTAGATTTGTAACTGAACCTCTCTGTAGTACAGTATTAATAATAGCGCCCTCTGTTTTTATCTCAAAATAAGAGGTGATGAATGATGATTGATCGACTGTAAACGCTACAGGAGACTAAATTATTCATACAACTCAAAGTATATTGAAATAAGAACGTATTTATTGGATACTGGACAATTCGTGGCTAAGCATGTTTCAAATTCATATTATTGGGCATATACAGTAATGAATACAATACATGAAATTTGCTTTTCCGGTAATAAATATACTACAGTGCGCCCTCCAATTCGAGACCACTTTTCCAAAGACCCAAATAACAATCCTCAACCTTTTAACACAAAGATAGCCCTCTAATTGGAGACCAACCCTGAGACCACCCCAAATTTTCAGGTCCCAATGGTGGTCTCGAATTAAAGGCGAACTGTAATAAAATATAAGATACAAAGTACATTCTATTGCACAGAACAGAATAGCACACACTGACAATATGAAAAAGTAAATAGAACAAAAATAAATAAATTAAATTAAATTTTTAAAAAAACGTCTTGATTGCATTAGGAATGAATTGTGAGTCTTTGTGTCTATTATTTATTTCTGTTAATGAAGTAACAATTCTACCGGATCTGCTAAAACCTACCGTATGTAATTGTGAAGTGTGTGGTTATTACTGTATCATTGATTATATTATACATTTTACTTAACATAGCAGCTTCAATAATTCCTTTCAAGGTTATACATTTAATTCCTGTTCTTTTACAGCCTTCCTTAACTATTTTATTTAAAAATTTCGTCTGCGCTTTAGATTTGCGACTGTATTTTAGGCCTATTGCAAATAACGGAATTAATGATAGGCCTACTTCCTTATGAGAAAGTTAATGGTGCTTAAAATTGTCTATAATCTTCCTGCCGATAGCAGTTTCGCAGATTCCGATATTATGTTTCTTAAACACCAGTGACCGATTTATTGTTTATATTATTTAATAATATCAAACATTAGCCTATACTATTAATAAAATTGATCGATAATGATTAATATATATTGCTTTAATTATTTTGTTTTTGAATTACTAAAACAGCTGATTGGAGCTCCATGCCATTTGTTTAAAACTTATGACACGGGTGGTGGACCAACGTTGCCCTGTTGATCAGGTGGAGACGAACTAGCAGACGAACTAGGTGCAGATAACCCAGGGGCCGAAGGTGACAGACCAGATCCAGACATTTGTGAATCCCAAAATTGCCATGATTGTCCACTGTGAAATATCGGATAAGCTGGTGTTATGGGTGCGAATGAAAATGGGGTGTATGCTGGAGGACCTGACGGCGTCACTACCAGATGATTGCCGTATGCTGGATTGGGGTAGGACACACCGTGCGGTGCAGCTGGATTTGAGTGGAGCACGCTGTGCTGACCTGGATGAATCACGGAGATGTTAGTCTGATGTGTTCCTGTGATGAAACAAAATTATGAAATTTATTTATAGCTGATAATGCGGAAATGGATAATCATATTAATTATTATAATATCGAATTATTATATTATTATTTGATCATATTAAATATATTTATAACGGGTGGCAGATTTTAAAAACAGACATTTTTAAAACAAACCCCTTTATTTTCTATATTGTTTTCCAAAGATGTTATGGTAGGCTTATATACGGGGTGTTTCACACTCACGCACCACCACCACCACCGTCATCCGTGTCATCATCATCATCATCATCATTATCATCGAAAGTCTGTTACAATACTTTGAACTGAAATCGTTATTATTTACCATTATGTATGCCAACTGTTGGGAGCTGTTGATTTTGTTTGTAACACACACAGCAGACTGCGATGAAAACGGTAAAGAGAATTACACAGACAAAACCGCCAATCAGTAAGCTGAATGCAATCCCGATTCTGTGAATTAAAGTAACATATACACTAAAGTATTTTTATGTTATTAATTTATGTCCACATTACCAAATTGTTTTGACAAAAATTGTTGTATACCCATATTAGTCATGATGTGCCTATGATGTGATGTCTTAATGACCATATTTATGGCAAGCCATGCCAACCAATAAGCTGAAGGAAATCTTGATTCTGTGGGGTTAACACATATAACAGTTGTATTTTAATTAGGCCCTACCATGTAAGAGGTGTTAAAATATTTTTTTTTTATGTAGATCTGTTTTTGGATATTGTTGGGATCCTCAGCTCCCCGACTCGTATACCAATTTTTATTATGTATCCATTGACCATGTGAAAAGAGTTTTTGTGTATGCCTATCCTTGAATTTGTGCTGTAAAGTCCTATAAAAATAAGTGAATACTCTATAATCGAAAAACCTACCCTTGGTCAACGTCGTTCCAGTCATCACTGTAATCGCTGTAATAGTAAGACAAACTTGAGAAAGACTCATCAAAACCACTGGCAACTGTAAATGAAATAATTTTACTTTAAATTGACATGCTATACAATTTGGATACTGAGGAGGGGGGAGAATGTATAGCTGTCCGACAGGGTGTCTGACGACCGGCAAAGGTCAGTGGGTCCAGGGAAAATAATTGGGAAATTTGGGACATTATTTTAAAATGATGATTGCATAAACATTGAAAGTCATTAAAATTCACTATTACACATTTCATTACATAAGGTACATTAAAATAAATAAATAATAAATAAAGGACACAAATTTGAATAAAGCAATCATTTAGGGCCTAATGCTGTCTCTTATACACATCTAGATGTGTATAAGAGACAGAATGAAAATCTCGTCCTTGCTGTCATAACACTGGTACATTTGTGCTCTTGTTTTACTGTGTACGGTATGTGAACTGATTATCAATATATTTCTATCCAATGGTCAGACTAACAAACACACACAACTAATTTATGAAAATATTTCTGAAAATAACAATTAGAATATAGCATTTAACGAATGTTATCTAGTCTATACTTACGATGTAGCAAATTGATAAAGATAAGCAATTCTCCGCAGATCAAAAACATGTTGATAATTAACTTAGTCATTGCTACATTAGGCTGCCATGGCTTGTGTTTTCTGTTTGGTTTGGTGTTTTTGTCACCATCACTTTGTCTATGTTTTTACCAATGATCATATGATCCATTGCTTGAGAGAGCAAGAAAAATGAGAATATGAAAATACAATAATCGATTAGACATTATTGATTGAAATTACTTGACTCATTTAGTAGCATACTTAAGAAATACGGTGTATATATATAATACTCGTCAGCTATATAATTGAAAAATCCTTGGTTACATTTACTTATTTTTCCACGTAGGCAGGATTTTCGATCGGGAAGTGTGTTTTTGCGAGCGAAGCGGACCTTAGGCTGGGGGAGCCTAGGACCCCCTCAACCGGATGCTCGGACAAAATTAGCATTTTGAGCGTCTTATACATGGATTTCTATTCTGTCTAATTTTTTCACTTAGGTAGTGAAAGCTATCAACCTTACATAACTCCATAATAAAATAAACCAACCCCCTCTCTCTACCCCCACCCCATCATTAGGGCCCTACTACTACTACTACTACTAGTAGGAGTGAACAATTGCAAAAAATAAACATGTAGAAAAACATTTTATAGTATGGCCTAATAATTTATTTGTATCACGATATTGAAACAATATTGATATATCCCGCTTAATGTACGTGCCTGAATTAGATTCTTAATCATTTCACATTGATTTTGAGTTTATCTTACAGTTAGAAATAAATAGGGACCTAAACTTTTTATTTCCTTTACATATATTCTGTCACTTGACTGAGTACATGAATGATCATTTAATTACATCCCCCGTGCAGCATGGTTTCGTTAGTGTGTTTCACACGGGTCTTCTTGATGATCGGTCCCCTTCTCCCATTGACTTGGTTTTTCTCGATTGGAGTAAGGCCTTTGATCGGATCAACCACTCAATGCTACTTAACAAACTCCACCAATTCGGTGTTTGTGGACCTATAATACATTGGTTTGCTGATTACCTCAGTGATCGTTCGCAAAGAATTGTTTCAGATTCCAATATTATGTTTCTTAAACACCAGTGACCGATTTATTATTTCTATTATTTAATAATATCAAACATTAGCCTATACTATTAATGTTTCATAGGCCTACCGAAGGTAAACATAATATAAAGAACAGTACAGTATGGTAAAGTACTCGAGCGTCACGACATTGTGAAGTGCCTGCTCTTGTTCGTATCGAACTCGAAGTCGAGTCAATCCGAGGCGACCCGAGTGGAGTTTCATGCAAATGTTTTGTACGGAAAAAAGGTCGCAACCCGGTTCTTCTTAGCTAGAAAATTTGCGCATGCGCCGTGCTGTCTGCAATGTAAGACGGGTGTTTGATATTCACAAACTTGCGGGAAAGTTTTGGTCAATTATGTCAACAGTTATTAATATTCCATCATGGATCGAAGAAAACAAGAAGTTCTTCCTACCGCCAGTGTGCAATAAAATGATGTAAGCATAGGCATGACCTAGCTAGCCTAGTAATTAATTTCGTTAAAAACCTAGCTAGGCCTACTACAATACTAGGCCTAACTAACTAGGCCTAGGCCTATTACTAAGTAGTAGTAGTAGGTAGGCCTAGGGCCTAGTAGTACGGTAGCTTAGCTTTGCGGGCGATGATGATCTCCGTCTGGGGCTCTCGATATGATAAATAGGCCAGGGTCACTAGGCTAGGCGTAGTGTACAGGAGTACCTAGTTTTCCATACAATTCATCAACTCAAATAGTGTCAACTCGGTTTTCGCCAACACTTGGCACACCACCAACTAGGCCTAGACTCCTTAACTTACTTAACAAACTCAACTCAGCTCATCATACTCATCATTCATAGGCCTACACCATAATAAATAAAGAAAGGCTCCAAAAATTCAGAGAGTGCTCAGAAAATATACAGAAAAATCATTCAAAAGCAAGATTTTGTGAGAAACAAGTTTTTTTAGTGATCCAATAGTTTCTACTGGTACTACTCTCACCATATACTTATGCTCCCCAGGCACCAGAAAGGCCAGATGAAGGCATTCTTTGTGGGCGGACCTAACAATCGTAAGGATTATCATATAGAAGAGGGAGAAGAGGTAACATTTTTCCCTTTATTAATTAAAAGACTATTTGGAAATGAAATGTGCATTCACTCAGAAGCAAAGTTAATAGTTGTAGAAGTGCATCCTGCACCCCTCCATTTTCCATTTGTAGATAACCTGCATTCTGGTAATTGGTTTGGCAGTACACCAAAGACAATCATCACATGCACAGAGGCAACTGGTCTGTTGCTCTATCAGGGGTCCCAAGACTCCTTGATCTTGCGGCGCCCTCCCACACTCCAGAAAGCAACAAGCAAGAACCTCCCCTATCCCACAAATTTATAATATTTGCATGTTTTCACTGCTTTATTATCAATTCTCTCATTGAAGTCAGAGCCGATGGGATTTACAGTGTGCAGCAAAAAATTAAATGTACGAAAGCTCATTAGCCAGTTAAGTCTCAGATTCAATGGGTAGCTCCTCCCCCCCCCCAACACCTAAAAATTGTGAAGGTACCATTTCCAGCCATCTATAGGTGCTATTAAATCATACATTTTCTTACCTCAGCCTACAACATTGGTGGGACTGACTGAGGTGGTATAGACCCTACATCTGTGAAAGCCCCTCCCTGCCACACCTCCTCCCTCCCCCCTCCCCCCAATTTCAAATTTTTGGATTCGCCACTGCAAGATGTCCTTCCAATTTGGGATCGCTAATATATGTTTTTAATTTACGGTATTTTATTTGAAATTATAGGTACTGTAATATTAATTACATCCGTGTGTTTTATACATAATCAAGATAATATATTAAATATATTTTTCAGTTTTTCTATATGAGGAAAGGAGACATGTGTCTGAAGGTTGTAGAACAGAATCAACATAAAGATATACACATTAAAGAGGGCGAGGTAAGTAGGGTAGAGGTATACTGACAGTTAAAAACAACAACAATAAATGTAAATAAATATTTCTTGGCACATGATCAGAATCTGAATGAAATATATTTAAATTTTTGACAATTCCACAATTATGCTTGATAATGTTAACATCAAAGGAAGTCGGATACCAACTACAAGCACACAGCTGCACATGTGTCGTTTATCACAAGAAAAAAACACTAACAAAATACAAATTTTTAAAAATGCATGATTTGTTTGTTTCTGGCCATCGCTGCCGGCACTGGTGGTGGTGAAGATGCTGCTGTTAAGTACTGTACTTTAATAAATCTCTTGATCAGCTATATTGGTAATAATTATTAAATGAATTATTTTTTTAAGGTTTTCCTGCTGCCTGCATTTATTCCTCATTCTCCTCAACGTCAGGAAGGGACAATTGGTCTTGTGCTGGAAAGGGAGAGGGCAGAAGAAGAAAAAGATGGACTGAGGTGAGACACATCATTCAAGTGGTCAGTCCTACTGTACCATATTACTTGTTCTATGACAGTCAGGCAAACGTATATTTATATTCATACTGTTGACAGGGTTATGCCATTTTGTTTCTCTGACTGAGGAATATATGCCTAATATATTGTTATAAAATGATAGTTTATTTTTTTATTGGTAGATACTTTGTGGATGGAACATTAGATTCATTATACGAGGAGTGGTTCCATTGTGAGGATCTTGGTGCTCAGCTTGGACCTATCATCAAGCGCTTCTTCGCCTCTGAACAGTGCAAGACTGGCAAACCAATACCAGGTCTGTTGGCTACTTCATCATTTAAGAACGTTTTTATAAAGATGTACTGCCCATGTGACAGTCCAGAATACATTAAACATCTCATTTAAAGTTATCAAACATATATGTATAGTATATAAACACTCCATTAGGATTAGGCCCAAAGGACCTATGGCTGCAGTGTAGAACCCACCAGGGTCAACATACCTATAGACAATGCCCTAGTCTTTTCAACAGTTTACAGAGTTTTTTTATGTGCACACAAGACCAATGGCTTCAATCCCATTCCAAAGACAAGATAATTAGAGCATAGAGCTATAAAATTTAAAGCTAATTTTGCAACAAAATATTACTTTACAGAAGCCAAAATTGCCTGTACTCACTGTGTATTCATTTTAAGTGATTTTTGGATGAAAACATGATCATTAATAGCAAAAGTGAGTGTTCTTATTCTCTTCATAAAGATCGTGAATCCATTGAAATAGCACCCACAATGAACAAATTGTGAGATTCTATATTCCTACATAAGCTGCCTGAAAAAACATGCACAGCTCAAGATAGAATATATCTTGCCTGCAAACAATTGATATTTCTTGCTGTTAAGGAAGTTTTATTTAAATTTATTGGTTTAAACTTTTTCTTCTCAACTGAAGTAACATATTATTTTTGAATTTTTTTAAATCACAATTTTAATTGATTTTGTTGTGAAAAAAGATTTCTAGTAATGACCTCATAGCCGCAAATTGAGTTTCGTAAAATCGATAGTTCGTAATTAAGAGGTTGGTAATTGGGAGATTCTACTTTATAGCATTAGCACGTCTCGAAGTCCAGTTTCTAAAGCTGGTTTTCCACTAGGTGAATTTATTTGCACGAATCAAAGGTCGTTGGTTCGGTTCCTGAGCTCTGATTGGTTGCGAATATATACAAAAATTAGAAACAGTTTGAACTACCAATTTTGCTGAAGCGGAAACTCAGATAGAAATGTAAATGCATATGCGCATGAACGCTTTCGATTCGCCTAGTGGAAAACCGGCTTTACCACTGCACTAACTTGTTAGTGATTGCCTTCAAATGGGAAGCAAATTAAAACAATCTAGATTGTGTTGATTAAAGCTCTGTCCACACTGTCTAATTTTATGTGCCATGCCCATGTTTGGGCGTAATATGACATCATTGTGCCCATATATGGGCACATCACCAAATTTGTCACATAAGAACTCATAATGTTTTTTATTATACCAAAAATTATAACAAATATTCTTGACATAAATAAATTAAATATATTACGAAATAATGGTCGGGAAACTCTCATTAAGGCTAAAATAAGCCACTGCCATGAGAGCCACTGCACAGATAAATAAATGTATTGATTACTCATACTATTTTGAATGTCATAAAAATTATAAAATGCATGTCCAGTATAACAGATAATAATAATAATAATAATAATAATAAAATAGAATACTATGTACTCTAATGATCATAAATTTGATAGTGTAGACAGAGCTTAACAGAAATTTACTACCAAAATCTTTAAACGTGAAAATAATAGCTTATTACTTTATTTATGATTGTTACATTTGTAGGTACAATCCCCGAAAACCCGCCGATAAAAATAGACACCAAACGCAAACTGGAACCACCATTCAACTTGAAAGAGTGGATCACTAAAAACCTGGAGGAAATCAACAAACAAGGCTACAAGTCACTCTGGAATGAGGACCATCAGTTCAGTGTATGTCGATTGATTTGTTATTTAGGATTGTTGGTTAAATGTGAGCCTACCAAAAAATTTAAAATGTCTGTGTGATCCATTAATATTCATATGCACCTGTGTAATACACGCTATTAGTCAACAGGCTACGTTACAGCCAATCAGAGAATGGATATTTCAGGATTTTTATATTTTCATCAGGAATAGAAGGATTACTACAGAGGCTCACCATAGCATCACATAAACACATGGCACAGAGACTATAATCTTAAAACTACAATATTGTGCTCAAGAAGGCTTGTAAATCAGTAATAAATGCTTTATACTGGTAGGTAATTTGTTTATGTTATTTTTATTTCAGGTTAGAGTTTACGGTTCTGGAGAGACAACCATTTCATCTGAAGTGGCTGAAACCTGGTTGTGCCAACTGGTATATAATTTTTATCTGCTTCTTTTTTAATAAAATTTATATAATAATGATAATGCAGTGTTTACTCCAGAATATGAAAAGTTTCAGAATTTATTATCCTCCTTTTATTTTATTACCCATTAACTAATTGGGATTATTGTGCACATAATATAATTGTTAAATTTAATAAAGTGACTATTTCTTTTAAATATAAATATAATTTAATGGGACTTAGTTTATAGAGCAATTCTAATTGATGTAGTGTTAAACTTTCAATGATCTAATTGATTTAGTTTGTAGTCTGCTTTTGTCATTATAAGTACTATCACATAGTAAAAATCACAATTGTCTTTGTCCTTTTATTTTATTCTAAACCTGGATGACATACAGTATGCAGTATGTGTAATAATGATGATAATATAAATGATAAGGATAATGCAACAATAATATACTGTATTAATATTAATGATAATGCTATAATGGGCATAGTTAATGATCCTATAAGTGTCTAGTCACATTATTGCTCTTGGCAGTGGTAATTAGAAACAAGTGAATGGTCAGCATGAGATTCAAACCGTCAGCCTTATGTTTTGAAACCAGAATCGTAACAGAAACCCTAAATTTTTCAATTTCATAACAATGTGAATTTTTAATTTTAGGAAGGTACATCAGATCTTGCAGTTGGAACAGAAAAAATGAACAAACTGGAGTTGACAAAAGATGATAGCTTTCTGATACCAGTTAATGAAAAGTAAGAGGCTGCTCAAATAAGGCACTAGAATAGGTTTTAATATATAAATATTATATTTTTTATATAAATATTCTTATTGTCAATCCAAATATTGGTCATTGAATGCAGCAGCAGTAGCTAATAATTATATAGATATAATAAGTAAAATATATTTTGTATATTTTTATGTATTTGTTTATATATATTTCTGTATTATATTTAAATTAGACCATTTGCTGCATATAACCTTAAGCACAATGTAAACAAATAGATAGATAATGATAAGCTACTGTAGTTGTATGAAAGACAGTATTTTTTGTCGGAGGGCTATGCTTGATACGTTTATTCAATTCAGTGTTCAATTTAAAAGTACATTTATTCTTCATGGTCAACATAGACAAATGATGCATAAGTAAACGGAACTATATCTCTTGTTCCCATATCAAGCCACTGTTATTAATGTTTATATATGTTCATTTAAAGATGTGACTACATAATTCTTTGTGTTTCTGATAAATTTTCAGCTCAATACCATTCCATGTCTGTTGTATTTTGCAGGTGTGCATTGAAATTAGAAGAAGGGTCTTTGTGTCTTGTTTGTGTTCAAGACCCTACCAGGAAGAAAAAACCAGAAGAGTAGTGTGTTAGGTGACTAGAGGTCAATGCATGACATGACCTGAATAGAGGTCAAGACATGACATGACTAAAGGTCAAGACATTACCTAACTAGAGGTCAATACTGTACATTATATGACATGAATAGAGGTCGAGACATTACATGACATAACTAGAGGTCAAAACATGACATGACCAAAGGTCAAAATATTCATGACATGATTAGAAGTAAAGACATGATATGACAAGGGGTCAAGACATTACTATTGGTCAAGGGTGGTGGTATTATACAAACTTTACTCTATTGTAGTAACACTAAAGAATAGAATTCAATTCAATTTTATTTGAGCATAATTCAAAACATTACAAATAACAAAACAATGAACAATAAAAAAATAATTTAGTAGAACATTTACAGCTCAGGATAACCCAAAAAACCTGAATCGGTTTATTTCCATTGGGGTTCCTTAAATAAAAGATATTACATAAAAGTTGGTTAAAAATTAAAACAAACATTAAAATTTATTAAAACCTTTAAAATTACTAATGAAAGTAAAACGAATAAAAGAAAACACCAGTAATTTAAGAGGCGAGCTAGTCTGGTTATTCTTAGAGGTTTGTCTATTTTTACTATATTTCTAATAAAATTTTTAGTCTGTATAGTAAGCTTGGAAAATGGTTTTCTCAACAATTAACAGACCTATAAATAAATGCATGGTTGTATGATAGGTGTACTTTTGTTATGTTAATGAGTCTATAAGCTTGCTCTCCCATATGCTTGGATGTTTATTGCATGATAGAGCTGGTATCATCTTGGGTTAAAGCCTGTGAATGTAGAGTTAGTGCTACTAAAATCCAAAATTTAGTAATATAGCAGTGTGTAAATTCTTTTCTTTTGTCTCCTGAGTACTTGATTTCTAGCCCACTCCCTAGAGTGGCTCTTAGCCTTGTTTTGGCGATTTTCCGTAAACAATATATATTCATTTTTTATATGTACATTAACTATTGTACTACATACTTTGATTATTTACTTAATGGTTTTATTTAGTTTGCTTTTTATTTACATGGTTTAAATTAACTGTCCTTATTTTATAGTGTTTCTGTCGATTCAATCTTATGGAAAATTTATCTTAATAAATCAAACAACAATTTAATGTTTTTAATTATTTTTATTTCTTATGGAGTTTCAGGTTCTTTAAACAGTTAATGAAATTTTTATGGCTCCAGAAGAAAAGATTTTGTGAATTGCATTTATAGTGTATGTTTAAATATACAAATAATTCAATTCTATTTACTAATTGCATTTATAGTGTATATTTAAATATACAAATAATTCAATTCTATTTACTTCATTTTCATAGGACTTTTTAAAATAGATTTATCATGTGTACAATTTTTTATATTTCTATCTTCAATAAATTTTTTATTAAATGTATATGCACATTACTTAAGCAATTTTTCAATATCATCTGAAATATTTTGATGCTGTATTTTAATATTATGTTGGTATGTAGGGTTACTTACAACAGCAATGTACCTCTAGTTAAGGGGAAGGTAAAATATTTTATGAGTTTTCTGCAATAAAATTTATACAGATCTAATAGATATCTGTCTCATAAAGTATATTTCTTTGACTGCCTAAGAATATGCTTAACCATTGAGGATCCTATTCTATAATTATGCCAAGTTTGAGCCAGTACTTTTCTAGAAAAAGCACTTTATTATCGAGCCCTCCCAAGTAAAATCTTAATTTTGTGGACCCAGCTTATAAAGTTTGGAAGCATAATACATGTACAAATCAAACTGGATGGACCCATTTTTCATGAAGTGACCAATTTTATCTGTGAAACCTAAATTAAATACAGTATTAATAATAGTGTATTTTTATATAGCGCACATATCCATCTAATGTAAGATGCTCAGGGTGCTTGATATGTGGACTAGAAACTCGATCAATGACTTTCTTCGCCCTAAGGGTCTCTTCGTGTCTGTACTGCCTGGTAATATTATCGCTATAGCTTGCAAACCACTCGGCCATTCGACTCAAACTTCCAGACACATCTAATATCTTGCCTAACATGTTGATTGTCCATTCAGGTGTGACCTCTAGTCTGCATTATCAAAACATTGAAAGTATATATATATTATAATGTAAGCATTGTAGCTCGGAAAAATGACAATTGATAATCATTTATTTCCTCACAATTGTCATCATTTTTGGAATTAAAAATATTTAAATTCTATAAAGATTACATACAGGTAGCACCAAAACTCTGTGTCCCATACTAACTGGAGCAGCAGAGCAATCGAGTGAGAAATCCAAGGACGTTTTATATAACTGTACAGCAAAAAATTGATCACTGCAGAAGAAACATTATTACTGAAGCATTGATTTGGTCACTGAAAGTGCGTAACAGCAAAAATGTTACTGCAGCATAAATTTTGCCACTCCACTGCTGAGTGACGTTTTCCCCCGCTACAAAGTAATGTTCAATTATGCCACTCCTGGCGCGCCATATTCGTTTTTTCTGTGACGACGCGATATCAGGTGGGCATTGGCGAATCGCATTTTTGCGCGATCGGCGTTCCATAGGTCGGAGGGTAGCGATTGATTGCGAACAAAAACCGCATGGAGCTAGGTGTGCATGTGATAAAGATAAAATTTATTTAAAGTTATTGTTTTACTAATATATGTGATGTAAGAACCGATATTTATCACTTTATGTTTTTTACATATAATCGTAATTTTATTATCCCAAACATTATCGACAAGGTAAGTTAAGCAAATCGCTAGGGCTAGGCCTGTCTAGTACCCGTCTGTACTCTGATGTAGCCTAGTAGCCTAGTAGTAGTAGTACTGGCCTATATTTGTAGGCCAGTACTAGGCCTAGCCTAGGCTAGGCTAGACTAGTGCAAGGGGAAGGCAATACTTTATGGCTGGGTAGGTAGGTAGGTAGTGCTACGCTTTAGGCTAGGCCAGGTTGGTAGTGGTCGAGGCAGGGAGTTGTGAGGTCCTTCGTGCTGTATTTCCTACCACCACCTCTATATATAAATATTTATTAAGCATTGACTAGGCCTAGGCCTATAATAATATATTTGTAAATTAGTTAGGCCTAGGCCATGTAAAATAAAATAATTGGTTAGCATCCCCCTCCCTACCATCAGAGAATCTACTGACCCAATTTTTTTTTTTCTTTTTTAAAATTTTTTTTTATAAAACAGTCACAAACTCCATTTAATGTAGGTCTGAGGGTCCCAATTGATCAGCTGAGGCTGGATGGACCACCCACACAAAATATTGTTGAAATAAAATAAATAAAAATAAAACCCCCCTGCCCATCCGCACACTAGCCAGACCACTTGCAATTCTTTGCTCTACTGTTCTATACTGTAGCCACATGGCATCCAGGACCATGATGCCTGTCGTGTTGGAGTAAATTGTGCGTGATTATAAATTTATAGAGATAATTGCATTATGTCTGTTATTCAGGTAAAGTTTCTGCTTGCTATAGATGAATTACATAATTTCTGGTATGCAATTTTGGTTTCTGTTGTTTTCTTCTTCTTTGTTTTGCTGTTTTTCCTTGCGACTCTCACTTTTCATGTTCGACGGCAAAAAAAAAACACCTCCCTCCCTACCATGAAAATTGATAACATAAGGATGCTAACCAATTTTTACAATTTTACATGATCACTTGAAAAACCTCCACGCACGCAGCATGGTAAATACGTACCAATGCTTTACTAACTACTGGATTAGAATTTATTATCAAAATGCATGTCAAAACTGAAAAAGTCAGTCAAGGTTAAAAGCCTTAAATAAAAAGCCTAAAACCAAATTATTTCACTTTTTTAAAACTTCACAATTTACAAAGTTTTGATTTCTGTTACTACACCAACACACTGTCTACAGAAAACTTTATTTCACATGGCAATGCAATAGAAATATCAAATTCCAAGTATTTGGGAAGCTTATCTCATATTTGGTGGAAATAAAGATATTATAATTTTGTTATCTCATTGATAAAAATTCCACCTCTAGGCTTCAGGCTCAGAATGGGTCTTGGACCAGCTAGAGGCACTACATCAATCATGATGTATTTATCCAGAAAATCAGGATAAATGTGTTTTATTTGTCTTGGTGAAAATAGAGACTTGGCCTATACATTACAGGTAGGCTACTGTTAACATACTAGTTACCAGTGAGAATTTGAAGTTTGCTTGTTTCTTGTATGTTTTGCCTGGTCTAGGCTTCCCTTGGTGACTTGACATTAATAAAACATGTTGTTTGACTTTCCCGTAGTCTTTTTTTATTACTGTTAAGTCAATATACATATTTATTATATTATAATTTTCAGTATTAAAATATTTTTAGTCATTCAATTAATCAATTTTTTCCCCTTACAGACATTGCAGTCATCAACATGATTCTCTGCAGCACATGCACTCACCATTGGTTCCGAGGGTTTCAACTACTACGATGTCTAAATCGTTTACACCTACTACAAATTCAGCAGTTAAGCTCATACAGCACAACTTCTGCTCAACAGGGAGTGAAGGCGGGAATAACCCCTGCTATAGTGCAGAAGATACATCCTAAAGGAATATCAAGTTATGAGAATCTCACTTCTTCAGGAAGGTGTTCGGCACCATTAACAGCTCCCTTTCATCATGTCCTATGTTTAGGATCCAGAACAATGAATACCTTAAATCTTTGTCAGAATCTAGTCCGCTGGCCACAATATTATGGTTGCTGCCGGAGTTATGTATCATCAGCCTATAAAGATGATTCAGAGGTTGTGAACTTAAGAAAGAAGTGTCGGAGTCTTAGGCAACAGAACTGCAAGTACATTTTAAAGACTGAGTTTGCTAGAACTATGAGGGAGAAAATTTGGCCAGGAGACTCTCTAAAACATGACAACTCCCAAATATTGGAAATCAATGCAGGTTTGGATATATTTACATAACATAGCTCTACAGTATTACAGTAAAAAAAAACATCACAAAATTCAAAATAGATCATGGAGGGAAGAGATAACCAAAAGGCAAATGCTGGCCATGTAGAGTTATCGCCTAAGAAAAAAAATTAAGAAAAATACCAAAACTCCCGTAATATATCTTAATTATAAGATTGAGTCCGATAATATTTAGATTGAAAATGCTAAAAGGAGTTCCAGCAATTAGGAAATATTGATTCAGATAATATTTAACTTGCTTTTTATGTATTAGTATTTTTTTCATACTGTAAAATGGTAATAAGGCAGAAAAAAAAATTTCCCAAACACAGTTGCATTTGGAAATAGGGGACATTTTTTTCTTTACTATTATAATAATAGTAGATGGATTTACTGTACATAGCGCAAATATACGAGATCTCATGCGCTCAACAATACTGTAGGTAAGAAGACAACAAAAAAGGGCAGAATAAAAAGCAAGCAAGTAACTACAGTACCAAATGTATTGAAATAGGTTTTACTCTTGAAAAACGGTGTCCCTAAAAGGTTGTGCCGAAGTAGGGGTTTTGTGGGATATTGCTACTGTAAACCCTGCAAACTTTCAAAACAAATTGTACAACCCAACCAAACCACTTGAATGTGATTGCATTATGTATTAGACTTACTTTAATTTTATGTTCATTAGCATAGCAACCTATTTTTTTGTGAAAAATACCTGAAAATACACTGCAAACCCCATCCAAACTGCAACCCCATTCAAACTCCTTGTATATGATGGTTGAATATTAAAGACCACCTCCAGTTAAAACCATATTTCTGTGGCCCTGCCCGATTGAATGCCTGTCTTTCATCATTAGCTGTTCCCTCCAATTTAGAGACCAAAGACTGGTTTTGGTGGACCCAACTGAAAATGTTCCCTCCAATTAAAGACCACTATAAAATATGATGTTAATGCAATTTTTCAATAATAAATTGTGTAACGTTATATATGACTTACACGTGCATAGAAATATTAGCTCTTTCACTATTCTGTGTACAGTGTTTTGTTAATGTCTGGCTACCATACTGTACTTACCAGGTCTGTCACAGCCGAGCCCTAGCATGGATCATCCATACATCATGTGCATACTTGCTACTAGCTCATTTGTCTTTTCTAAACCAGAATCTTTTTTTTGGTAAATTTATGAAGCTTAATTTCTGTCTGCCTCTGCTCCTTCAAACATGCGTGGGTTCTAAAAGAATACAGGTAAGCTGGTTTACAAGAAGTTCTGGATGATGACGATGACAGCGTCCTACTAGTGCCGTACGCCTTTGGTAGATCCTCATACAGAAGGTTGTTAGTGATTCGATCACGCCAACTGATGTGTTAAGGGCAGCTCTTCTTAACATCCGGGTATATGTATCATCTAACGATTTCTCCAGGACAGGTGTTACAGTCCATGAAATGTTTTATTGCGAATAAATAACAGTATGCAGTAACTTTATATCCATTTTGAACATTTAAAGAATTATTTTTAAATTTCTCTCTAAATAGAGAAATCGAAAGATCACATTTAATGCGCCCTAGGAGTCCCTAGTCACCTGCAGAGTGTCCTGGAAATCGGCAGGAAGGACTCGGGCACTCATGCTGATATTTGCATGCTTAAACAAATTTGTATTACTGTGTTATCAATTTTCTCCCAAGCATTATGGTTTTCACCATGTACAGCAAAATATATTTAGATATCTTTAAAGAAAAATCATTTAAACAGATCTTCCGGATGTGGATTCTTCTAACTTGGGACCCTTGTTGAGTAATGTATTGGTTTTGGCAGACCCAACTAAAAACTTTTAACATATGCATTAAAATACATAGAGATTTTAATACAGTTTTTAAAAAATGTGTCCGAATTCGCCTGTACTATGTCATATTGTCTATTGTCATATCGGTCATGGTGTTAAGCAAAAACAAAACTAAACTATTTTACCCAAAAAATGGATTCTTGTAAACATAAAATGAATTAAATATTTTACTGGGATGTACTATACTACATATACAATCATAATCATAATCAAGTGGTTTGGATGGGGTTTGCTGTATTTTAAGGTATATTTCACAAGAAATCAAAAATAGGTTCTTATGAACATAAAATTATTTAATTTTTTATAGAGATACCAAGCCAATCTACTGTATACTACATGATACAATCATAATCAAGGGATTTTGGTTTGAATGGGGTTTGCTATGGGTTTTTGGAGGTTTGTGGTGTATTTCCAGGTTTATATCATAACACGTTATAACTACTGTACACTTTATCTACATTGCTTCATTCTACCCAGCTATATCAATGCGTACCAGCAAATTGCTGGGAGTAAACTATGGTGGACTACCACACGCTCATCTGCTTCACGCTACAGAAACTGAGGATAAGCTCCAGCCCTATGAGCCCTAAGGCTCGTCAAGGTTTTTTTTTTTTTTTTAAAGAGGAGTTATGCATTTTAATCTTTAATTCAGTATTAATTTGTTACTGAAAAACATTTTTTTTTGTGTGTCCAGGGGCTGGTGTATTAACAAGGCATCTGTTAGAAGGTGGAGTCAATAATCTGATTGCAATAGAGAAGGAACCCGAACTGTACCCGGTACTAAATCAACTAGAAGCCGAGGAGGGCAAAGGTTATCAGGTTGTCACAGGTGACAGCTTCACAGTACTACGCACGCTGAAATCTTTCAAGGATGCGAATACTGACCTGTCAACTATTTTTGAACAAAAATTGGGTTTTAAAAACTGGCATAGAGGTATGATTAGCTTTCTGGTATTTTTTCAAGTTTAAACTTCAGTCATATTTGCGCTAACAACTGATGCACAGGTAATAAAAATATTTGAAGGATCATATAAAAAGAATCATTAACAATTTTTCAAAATTTAATTTCAGAGCCTGTTATCAAGGTCATCGGAAGCATAGCGTTGAAGACTGAGAGGACAAATTTATACATAATTTCAAGCTTAGTGTTGCAGAAGCTTGGAGTATTCAAATTTGGACCGGCAGAATTCAACATTTTGATGTTTCAAAAGACTCTTGAGGTACATTTATTTATTTATTTATTTATTCAACTGAACATACACTTTTGTTTCAGTGGCACACAACATTTCGGTGCGTTCAATGAGAAAGAAAAAAAACAACTAAACTAAAAGAGACTAAAAGTTATACAAAACAATTATACAATAACAGTATTCATTACTGTATTGGTGTTGAAACAAAATCCACTAAATAAAAAACAACATTACTGTAGTAATACTATTTTTAGAGTTAACAAATTATTACGTTATTAAGATACAGATAAGCACAAAAAAAAAAACAACAAAAAAAAACACAACAACACAAAAGATTACTTATGAGGTAGAGGTATGCAATAATAATGACCTTTCTTTCCACAGGTTTTTAGACAATGATACATTATAATGATACATTATATGATCTTAATGATATATTATATGATCTTACATGATTATAATGATACATTATAATCATGTAAGATAGTATAATACATACTCCAAGTATTGAAATGCACGCCATCGTGTCAGAATTCAATATTTGGACATTAATTATGTCATCTTCAGGAATGTATAATCATGTCATTTTGTAGTTTCAAGTGTGTACCTATGCCTATTTTTCCAACAATTTTATTTATATACAAAGCACTACTTGGCGGAGCTGGCTTCTCTCTAACCCTAAACTTCAGTCTTGCTACCTTAATGCTCTACAACAAGAAAATTCATTTACCATTTCTTATTCATAGCAAATGGTTTGTTTTAATTTGTATGTCTTGGCCTTCTAAATATAGTTGAAACTATTGATAGATAATCTTATGAATTAATTATACAGGAATTAAAAGGAATTTTATTGTATTAATTCCATATCATAAGTATGGGATAAAATAGATAATCTTGACATTTATTGTTTTCATTTCATGTTATGATAAATGAGGGATTGAAAAGGAATAAATAAATAAATGAGTGAATGAAAACTAAAGGGCTATTACAATTGCTGCTTTGATTTTTATATTGTCAACAATAATTTATACGATGCAAATTTGCATCAGGAAAGCATCATAGGAGTGATCTATTAATAATTAATAATATATTAATTTCAAAATGTTTATTTAGTTTTATATTTCTTTATGTTTGATGTTTCTTTTGAATGTGATTCTAGTTTTTTTTTTGGTTTTTTTTCAGACATTAACCCAGGGTCCAACAAGCAATATGTCAAAATATCAGGCAATTTCTGTTTTGATGCAAATAGGTTTCAACATAGAATGTCTACACACAGTAAGTACTGTTTATTTTGTAAGAAATCTATTAGTAACATGTTACACACTGTGATCTAAAAAAATTGTCGAAATCTTAATTTTTTCTCTATTTTGTTCTTAGGTTGGCCAATCATCAATAGTATTACAAGAAAAGTTCACTAAGGTACAAATAGTTTTTTGTTTTTTGTTTTTGTTGTTGTAAATGATTCAATTGTGTTTGTTTTGACAATTTACAATGGAAGGTAGGATGAGGGAAAACAGACCACAGAAGAAGACCACCAAGGGTCCTGGTTCAATTCCTGTTATGGCAACAGGATTTTTTCTCACGACCAAAAAATTCTCCACTCCTAAATAATGACACTTAATTTATTTAGAGCATCTTGCTTATATGTTTGTCTTGTGGCAGGATTGTCACTTAGTAAAGTGATTAAGCTTGCCATTGGTATAATCTTGGCCCTGAACCTAAAAGATGAAACAAGAAAAAAAAAGAACAGATATCCTTGTTTATAGCTAGAACATTTTTCTCTTATGAATTAGGTATTTGTTTAAACAGTACAGGTCTCCCCCCCCCCCCCAATTAAAAACCACTTTTGGGCTGTGGTTTTCATGGTCTTTAGCAGCTTTTGTCTCTAATTAGAACAACAAAAATATGAGACATTTGTTTAATTTGGGACCACAGAAAAGTGGTCTTTAATTGGAGGGGTCTTTTATTAGAGGGAGACTTGTATATTACTTTTATGCTGTAGGAGGCAGATCATGTGATACAAGTTAAATTAAAATTATAAGTGATATATTTTTTTGCAGGTTGACAATATTTGCCTAGTAAAGCTGACACCAAGAATGGAGCTGATCACCGAGAACGGCCTAAGTGCCGAGGAAGCTTCTCTTTTCATATATTTTGTACGCAATTTGATGACAAAGCGAAAACAGAATCTGTTGCAGATTCTAGAGTATGTAATAAGCCTATTAATTTAGTGTTCTTATTCACAAGTTCATACTCTGTGGAGCCATGTCAATTTAGTTCTAAAAATTCAACAATACGATTTTCGGGTATATTGATGAAAGCATTAGTAGGGCCAGGGCCGCGCCGGAACACTCCTTTCTTGACCACAACAAATCTTAAGGGAAAACAGAACAAAATAATTCAAATATGTTAGTGTGGATAGCTGGGAAAATACTCAAATCTATCTTAAAATCACATTAATATCTAATTTCTCTGGGAATTTAATGTTTTATTTGATACTTTGCAATGCTGTTCGAAGGTTCTTCGACATCAAGAAGATCCATTCTGTAATATTAGTAACAGTGATCATAGGTTTTAATTTATCAGCAAATGCTTTATTTTTCTGACGTTTTCCAGAGTCTGGGCCCCGGGAAGTGGGTACGTACTTATTGATCTTGGCTACAACAAACACACAAGAACCGGTGACGTGAAAGCAATGGACTACTTAAGGATGTTCACGCATATTTTACACCTGGACTCTTTCAACGGTCACTGGATCGGTGAAGAGATCATGGACCACTCGGCACTTACCGACGACATCGAGAATAGCCTCTTGCAAGATATGTATTGAATTGTAAGTTTTTTAGTATTGATCATAAATTTGCAATTCCTCATGCTCGCTAGGTTATTATTCTTATAACCAGCCCATGTTAATCCTAAAACTCCTTTTCAAAATAGAAACGTCCTTATTTCAGTAACTGACTGGGAACCTGTGTGAGGCCTTATGAGTATTTTAGGCATGTTTGATCATGTTATTATTTTTTCTATTCTATTTTTTTAGGGGTCAATATGAGACAAGTTCTACTTCTAGTTTTGATCCCCATGATGGTCTAATTTCGCTTTTTTTTTTTTTTTTTAAATAATTTTAAGAATATAATTTTTCATATGTATGTTTTTTTCTTATGACCATTACGAAATAAATGTTACTGAATGTTCAGTTCTGGTTGTGGAAGATTTGAACTCTTTATCTTCACCCAATTGTTCAATATTCCGATCACATTCTCAAAAATTTCCTCTCACCTTAACGTAACTGTGGAATCGCAGACAATTAACCTTCTTACCACATTCCTGTAGAACCGAACATTTCAAATCTTCATTCCTTCCATATGCACTTAGGCTTTGCTCGTCTATCAATCTTGATATGTCTTCTGCCAACAATGCCTTCCAGTACTGCTTTCCTTGGAACACATTGATCTATACTTAGACCAAAAAAAGAAAATTCTTGTGTTGCCTAATTTTTAGGAAAATCCAAAAAATGGATAGGTCGGTAGGAAAAGTTGTTTGTTTAAAAAAAATTTTTTTTTCCTAATAATATGTTTATGCCTAAAAAGTAGAAAAACACTGAAGTATAACAAAGACCATTTTAAAATCTATATTGAAGAGCAAAATGATCGCATAACACTGTCGCATCGCCTACTGTCCAGCAAGATAGGCCTATTCCAGCCTTTTTAACTCATTGAAAATATATTTTTTGTTGTAGTCAAAACAATAAATTTTTTTTTATTTGGCCTTATTTTTAAATTTTTATTAAGAATTTTTTTGGTGGCTGTTGCAACTGTACATAGGTGAATGTAAAAGTTATTATTTCTTGTTGAGCAGATAATAGCCAATTTATTGGTGCAAATAGTTATTGAATTGAACTTATTACACCCATTCTCACATAGAAAGTCGGTTGCCTGTTTCCATTTGTTTACAGGTGAAGTATTCTTCCAGTCTGTTGAACTTCATTCCTCTTCCCAAGATCACTGAAAATAGAACCTTTGGTCTGTAATACATTGGTGACTGTTATCTTATTTGAACCAGTGGCCCCCTCCAAAAATTACTCACCCCCCCCAGGCTCCCCCCAAAAAAATCACAGTCAAGTTGTTAAAAAGCACCTAAAATCACCTTATTTTGCGAGTTAGCACCCCCTTAACTGATCATCGAGGCCCCACTTTATTTTCGTACCCCCACTTCAAGACTCCTTGATACACCACTGATTTGAACCTTTGTCTAATTTATTGTTTTAATATAATAATTTTTCAACAGTTTCTTTAGAAACAAGCATTTTGTAGAAGTGCAGTTGGAATGGTTCAGTTTCCCAACCTTGAGGTCGGGGATTCAATCCCTCACTGTAAATTTCGCTAGTGTCCTTGAGCATGGCAATTTCTCTGCATTTCTTCTCTCCACCCAGGAGTATAAATGATTACCTGGTGAGGTTGCCTGTTCCTGCGCTTATTACAGGAACAGCACTTAAACCATGTGTACCTAACGACCTAGGAAGGAAGCGCTTCGTATCTGAAAAGAAATGCGCTTTATAAATAATCAAGGAATAAAATAAAAGCAATGGAAGAGTCAGCACATCTTTTCTAAAATTATTCTTTTGCATGCAGTTTTTATTTCCATGAGGTACTCAACAGACTACAATGATATCACAATTACATAATTTCAGTCGACAAATAATACTACCCTGAATGACATGGTGATGTTAGTGTTAACATAAGGTATCTAGACGGTGCTACCACATAATATTATTAATAAAATTTTTTTTAAATCATAAAAGAATTATTGTGCATAGTAAATTAAATTATGTCCAGTTTTGAAGACAAATAATAATCATCAAAACCGTATCATGCAGCAATTTGAAAATAAGACGCAGTTAACCCTTGGTGTTAACCCCTTGGTGTTAACCCCTTGGTGTTAACCCCTTGGTGTTAACCCTTGGTGTTAACATAAGGTATCTAGAGGGTGCTACCACATAATATCATTAATCAAATTTTTAAAAATCAAGAAGCATTATTGTGCATAGTAAATTAAATTAGGTCCAGTTTTAAAGACGCTATTAATCATCAAAACCTTATAATGCACCAAATTGAAAATAATACACAGTTAGCCCTCAAAGTTAATAATAAACGTTACTAAACTTAATTTAAAGTAATGATCAAAGACCATACATTACAGATGGTAATAGAGGGACCTATTTTAAATGTTAAATACCATTTCTTCATATAGCCACTAGAGCTTACTTAATCATGGACAGATAAAATACTATTTGCCCATGCTTTAAAATGGAGCAGGTTTCTTCTTAATGTAAGAGCCTACCATATTTCTTACTGTTAACAGAATTAACCTATAACTACAGTAAATATATATTTATTATATTTATATTATAAACATATAACCCTATGGTCTTAATCTCGAAAAGAAGCTCATGTGCTTTTAATCAACATAACATGGGCTTCTTTTGAGATAGTTCTTACATTCATATTGACGTTATTTTTTATTATTATGATAGCATGTCAGTATCAGTATTATTTCATTGTACCAGCATGGTGAAACATTTTTAAAAACATTAAACAGATTTTTGAATTTCATAGTTGTATAATAGCAATTAAACAATTTGCAGCACTGATTTTGGAAGAAGCCATTTTCTTTAGTTTGCAAAAGTAATCTCAAAAAGAAGCCCATTTCAAAAAGAGGCCCATCTTAAAAGGAAGCCATACAAAGGTCCTAACAACAGAATCCCAGGGACTCTATTCAAGGTTTTACGGTATTTGTTGAAACCATAAGTAAATCCTCTAAACATTGTAATCAAAAGTTAACCTATTGATTGGATAATAAACATTCTAATCTAATTTTTAAATATAATTGCATGTACCCTGTACTAGCATAAGTATACATGGCAGAGATTAAGAACTGGCAGAGGTTAAGAGAACTGAAGTGGTAAAAACCATTCTCAGCAATTATTCTGGAATGATTTTTTTTTATTTCATCAAGTGCTAACTTCCTACGGACAGTGGGTTGTAAAATTTATGATTTGAGATGATCCTTACATTTATTTTCTGCTATTTACTATGGTAGTGTGTTAAATAATATGCTGTATATTCAGGAAACGTCACTTCACACCCTGAATACAATTTGTATTTGGTCTTCCAGCCTCAGTCACCATGGAATGCTTATATCCCACATGTATCATATTGCGTATGTGGATTTTACTTTAAATAATGTTTAAATATATTAATTTAATTTAGAGCTAAATACATCAAATTTGTCATCAAAGTTGTTGTGTTTTCCGACCTAGGCCAAGATTAGCAGTTTTTATACTCTCAGTAATTATCGTCTTATTATAATAATAAATAAAATGTTTTCTGATGAATTCATTGTACATTCACAGTATACACATGTTATATAAAGTATCTTAAAGCTGACTTTATTAGTCAAGTTTTTAAACAGCGTTCAAAACAGCCCAGTGCTGTAGAATAGGAGTTTTGGTATTTGTTATTGTAATCATACCCAGCAGGGAATTTTGTGATGTCATAGTTGGTGACAAATTTGTTGTATTTTTTTATTTCAACCAAAGTTTTCCTTCAACTCTGCCTTCCTCCGTATGTACTTTCTGATCTTTTCTTCAAGATCTATATGCGATTTATAAATTTTGTCTGTTTTGCTGAGTCGAAATGAGTTGCTGTTGATGTTTTCAGTTACCATAGCAATGTATCGTACATTAGTTTCCAGTCTACAGCATGTGCACTTGGAGGACAATTGAAGTTTAGTTAAGTTCTTGTGCTTAGTTGTTTTGTCTTTTTTAATGATTTTAACTTTGCTAACGGTGATGTCCATGTACTTGTTCTTGGCCACCCAGGAGTCGACCGTGAAGCTGAATATTGTATGTTTACTCTTCAATGATTTCTTCCACTTGCTATCCTGGGGACAATTAGAGCACTGTTTGCAAACTGTAAATTAATGAAAAGTTAATGAATTAAAATTTCTACCAAAGAACATACAGTAACACTGAAAATGGATGATGAGTAAGGAGGACAATGATAAAGTTGATGAGGATATTGATAATCTGATTGATGATGATGATGATGATGATGATGATGATGATGATGATGATGATGATGATAAAAAATCGTGGTAGGGGCTGGTGGCAGCGATGGCTGTAGTGGAATGGAGGAGGAGGGTTGTACTCTTGGTGATTTAATGATGTTAATGTTTTGTATCGTTTTTATTTTCATGTATGTATTCACAGATTTTATCATTTGACTTGGGGATCAGAATGGACAACCTTTGGTGTTAGGCCATGCTCATGTCTTGCTCTAGACATTCTCCAAGCGATTTCATACATTGTATATATTTTTAGCTGTGTCGAATTAGTAATGAATAAATAAATAAATAATGACAGTGATTAGTAATGTGTTATCTAATAACTATCTATTAAATCCATGCAAATTTTCCTTTTCTGTACTTCTCCGTTAATTTGTTGTTCTACTCTATTGAAAGTGGTGGAGGAGAAGATGATGATGGTGGTGGTATTGATGATTGTGTTGATGTTGATAATCAGTGATGATGAAGATAGGCAGTGGAGGAAGATTGTAGATAATGTGATGGAAATGAAAGAATGATGCAAGTGATTATCAATAATATCATAAAATAATAATAAGGGAATATTGGATGCATAAAAAGCTGACAGTGAAAGCATACATGTATCAGATTAGGAAATTTATAATAGAAGTGAAAACGATATCTAAGCTTTTTGAGTGAAAGGTAGAATAAGTTATATAGACAATGCTAGCTGGGTGTGCACATGGGATTTTTGATGATTTTGTTAAGGGTGGGGATGTAAGTAGGAAGTATAATTAATTCAAGTATTTATTTTATTTATTTATATCGTGTGAACAGCCTGCATTGTATGTGTTTGATTTTTGTGTAATTGTTTCATATGCATCCAACAAGCAACCGGCCAGGAATAAGGAAATACTGCCTGTATTAAACTAAGAAATTCTTGATTTTTATTTTACTTTTGATAATGTCCTCTGTCATTAACAAATGCATAAATTATATAATATCATTTAATTCATATATATTTTTTGCACAAACCTTTTACAATTCATCGATGCTCTTCAGTAAAAGACAGTGTATGAGCAGCAGAACATGAATTTATAAATTCATTAGATCTGATATAAATTTTGAAGTTAATTTTCAGTTTATATAGGCAGTATATCTTTAAATAATACATTGTCATGATGTTTTATAAAGGCAAGTCTCATTAAGAGGCTTACAGAATAGAGTTGTTTCAGCCATAAGATAACTGCCTAATAGTGGATTTGAACCAAGGTCTCTGGAGTAGAAAGAGTGCACCAATCCTTAACCACACTTTTTAGAAGTTCTAAATATATTCCCATGCAGTAAGCATTTTTTTTATCTGTTAGGACTTGCGAATTCCAATGCTGACCTTACCTGATGACATCACTACCTACATTGACCTCGGTTGTGACCTCATCTGTCAACATGTAAGAAATGAATGTTTATTTTAATACATATTTAAAATCTGTTTTTATAGGAGAAGGAAATTAAGGTCCCCAGAAAGAAGAAAGACAAAAGAATAGATAGTTACATGGCAAGACGACATCCATTAAACCAGCATCACTACTGTTCACCTCTTTGCAAGTTCCATTTAATTTGCTGATTCCTTGGCCGGATGGACAGCAATGCTCTGACCATTTAGGCGTCAGTCTTTTGCTTGGTATTGGTACACCTTTGCAACAGAATTCTTTCCTTAGATCGAACACCTTTGTTTTACAGCATGCAGCATTTGGTGTTTTTTTATGTAGCTTACCATGGCAGCAGATCTTTTCTTCTGGATTGTAGTTAGTTGAGTCACAGCACTCTGTTCCTTTGGCAAGGTGGCAAACTCTTGTACCGCAACAGGTTGACTCGGACTGCTGATAGATGGTGCCGTTACAGCATCCTTGCTGAGATTTTGTATACCGCAAACCTGAACAACATCCAAGACTCTCATCCTCCACACATAGCTCTCTGACGCCGATGTCGACTGGAGATGGAGATACTTGAGTTAATGGTTGGTAGTCTGCAGTAGTGTTGTTGTCTGCGACATCGTTTGTACTGTTGGTGTTGATAGTTACTGTTTCATTGTAGCAACTTGAATCAGAAATATTGTAAAGAATTGTGTCACAGCATCCTTGTAGTCTGTTGTCATATGGTTTGTTATCGCAGCACTTTTCATTGGTATGGGCTAGGTTTTGAACCTCGCCACCACAGCATATTTGTCTCTCTTTGATCATAAGTCGTCCATTGCAACAGCCGGTATCATCTCCATTGATTACATTTCCACCACAACAGACACTTTGATCGTGCTTTGCATGTTTCATTACCCCACCACAGCATATTTGAGGATAAAAGAAGCCTGAGCGATACATCTCTATTAAATCCACAAACACTCCTCCGCAACATGTTTCAGACTCTGGATCACGAACAATTCTCTGACCGCAACATTCTCCACCATCTATGCCTGGATACATGATCCCCTGACAGCAAGTTCCACTGGTTCTGTCATAGTTGTTAGGATCACAACACATGGAGGCATTTTCTTTGCTGTAGATGAATTTTGATTGACAACAGCGGTCTGTGGTTGGGTTGATCAGTACCGGTCCGCAGCATTGCATACCTTCCGTTTCATTGGTGTATCGGACATTCTCGCAGCAGTATTGTGTTGAATTATGTTTGTCTTGGGGTCGATTCCCACAGCAGATCTCACTGCTAATGTTTAGGATTTGCTTACCGCAACACGTTCCATTAGCAACAGGATGTCGTACACCATTGCACACAGTTTCTGATGAATTGTGGGATGTTTGTCCCGTGCACATTGTCCTCTGATGTTCTGTTGATTGCAATGATTTATCGCAGCAGATTTTTGTAGTGTCATTCTCATCCATGATGTCTGTACCGCAACAAACCATGTCTGAAAATATATTACATAGACAGTGCAAATATGAGATATATAACTCCAAAATGTGTGAGCCTTATTTTAATAATGAATAGTCATTTGGTTCCAACACTGAGGGAACTTCATGTTTATTGTCTCACCGATGCTGCATTTTGTCATATGAAAATTATGGTTGATAGTAAACTAAAATTTGTGACAATTAGAATAGAGGAATGCTCCTAATTTTTCCATCTTACTGAACAATTGTTGTTAATGGTCAATGCATATACCTAATCATATTAGTTAAAATAAATGCATCCCATTATAATTTTTTTTATTATTTCTTACCTGTTGAAGTTTTAAGGTACAATTTGGCCGAGCAACATATATGTGTGTCTGGGTTGAAGCCCTCAGAATTGCAACAATCTCCCTCATTCAGTGGAGTCCCTGGTGTTGCATACACCTGTTAAAAAATTAAAACACTTATCTTTCACAACATACTGTGTAATTTTTAAAAGTTGAATACTAATTGTTTCAAATATGTATTTATAATATTTGTTCAAGAAATTTCTGTTTATATATAAGTTTTCCTATTTTCTTTAATCATATTTGTTCACTTCACAGTGGCATCTAAATTTTTCAGCACTTAATGGGAATGATCAAAGTGAATATAAAAATTTAGACAAATTTAAATGGAAAAGAAAGTATAATACATACTCCAAGTATTGAAATACACGCCATCGTGTTGGGATTCAATATTTCGACATTAATTATGTCATCATCATTCCTGATGATGACATAATTAATGTCGAAATATTGAATCCCAACACGATGGCATGTATTTCAATACTTGGAGTATGTATTATACTTTCTTATCTGAGATTAATCAGTGGACCTTTCGGTTTTTAAATGGAAATGGACCAGGATTTGATTTTGATATTGTGTTCAACAGCTATCATTAGTGTGTATAAAATACATCTACAGTAGATAGATTCATATTTTCTACACTAGCTTTTAATGAATTTGGACAACATGTGGTTTGCAGATTGACAACATTCAAATCAACGGCTTTTTAATAGAAATAAAAATTTCTCTTACCCCATAAAAAAAAATAGAACTTGAACTTGTATCTGTTAAATAATGAAAAGTATTTTCTCACTCTACATTTTAGAATGAAGAACTAATTCCATCATTTTATTGTTCATGATTGTTGACTCAACATAGTGCAGTATCTTGGAACTCGGCAAACCCTTTTTTTTTCTTTTTTTTTCAGCAGGGGAAGCAAGATAGCCACATAGTCGTTTTTGCCTAGTGACTAATAATTAGCCTCCCCCCTAGAATAGACATTAAATGGATACAGACTGATACAACCATGGTCCTTAACTCCCCTAACTCTCTTGAAGGGGTTAGTCAAGGAACTGAGCATTTTTTTTGTTATAAAATACCCAAATTCAATACTCGACACAGAGCCGGGTATCCAACCCGGCATGCAAGAAGCAGGAAGCATACCAATTAGCCAAACACTCAGCTCATTCAACGAATTCATCTCCTCTGTGTGAACTCTTGATGATGCAATACTGTCTGCTGGTTCTCGGTGGCATTCTGAGTGTATCATTGGAGATAGCGTTGCAGTCTTCGTGGAATCGCATCGACTTTCTTAGCATATCTCAACTTTCTTAAACCTCAGTATTACCATGGAGGTATTATTGAGAAGGAGATCACTCGGCAACAGATCTCTTTGACGCGACAAACCAATGTGTTCCCCGCCTTTGGATCGCGCACGGGCGTATTACTGCGGCAGCTTTGTTCCCGGTTCATTGGCATAGTGCTGCGTGAGCGTAGTATTTTCAAGTGATCTCCTTCTCAATAATACCTCCATGGTATTACTATCATGGGCCAATGGACATTTCTGGAATGTCAATCAAACTTAACGACTGACTGACCAATCAGAACAGTGCCAAGAATATGTGCGTCTAACAAGCACATGTGTTGTCCGACAAACCCACATGTTTGCGTATGATTTAACATTGTCGTTTAGTCGGTAGGACCTTAGCTGCAAGTGGCAGGGTTTAGCGAAAGGTCCATTATGTTTTAACACAAGTCCTTGTTTACCTGTATTGTAGAGTTGAAGGTAACAGGAGGCATTTGCCAGCTGTAGCAGACATCATCGTGATCTTCTTCTATCTTAGGAACTAGTTCAAAGCCAGTATAATCAGAGAAGCAAATGTGTTCTGTGGGGTTGTATATCAAAGTGCCACAACACAGACCTCTTTTGTTGCTGTACATTTCTGTTTCTCCTGAAGTAGTAAAATTGTATGCAAGTGAATTTACTAGCTCCTCATGTTATCATACTATAATAATTAATCACACTACATTCATGCATATTGTGATAAAAACATAAACATCCTGAAATATTTCCAGTGGTTAGTTGTGAAGCATTTTTACTCTCTAAAAAAATAAATTGCACATAGGCAACTTGCTTTTAACAGGTGAGCAACATATTCTAAACAGAAAAAATGTCCCCTAAAAATTTCAAAATTATTTTTTAAAATTGGAGAAAACCGGAAAATTTTAACCAAATTTAGCTCTCAAAGTGCCATTTCTGGTAATCTAAAGGTGGTCTAATCATAAATTTTCTGAGGTGGTATAGACTCCTCATCTGTGAAAGCCCCTCCCTGGGCCCCCTCTATGTTGAATTCTTATTACCCTGTTCTTGCATGAATTTGGTGTTACAAGTAAGAATTGTCACTATACTGTATTGTCACATTGCCCCTCCCTTTTTGCACACACACCTGCACAATTCTCTTCATATCCAGTTGTTGAACCTAGGATGAGTTGGAAATCTCTTTTAAATATATGCTTTCTTCTTACCATAATTATTGACACAACATGTGTCCATTAAGGAGTTGTATGCCTCTATGCCACAGCAAGCGTCTCCAAGGGTCTTTGAAAGAACTGTACCACGGCAGCAGATTTCAGTGTTTGAGTTATAACTGCGCGTTCCACAACACGCTGTGTCATTCGACCCCTTAGGTTGTGGTGTATCAGAACAGCATAGCTCACTCTCTACATTGTAGGTACCTGTAAGATTTTTCAAAAACCTTTTCATTGGTACCTCAAGTCATTTTAAAATATGTGTATCCCTACCTGCAGGTTAGAACTTTTATTTTTGCCCATTTGTTAATCTGTGTGAAATGAATTAAACATGCACATGGACCGATAGCTTTGATAAAGTAAAGCATTGTCTGGCATTCAGCAATCATAAGTCTTTGTCTAAAAAGCATGCAACATGCCTAAATATGGTCATGATGGCATCACATCATGACTATATATGGGCACGTCATGACTATATATGGGCATACAACAGCTGGTTAGATCAGATTTGTGTGAAAAAAACAATACACTATCAAAATACATGGCAGTTTAAAATCTGTATCAGACATTAAGAGTCATTACAAGTTTATTTTTCTGATGTGTAAAAATTTCATACCTTCCCCACAACACCGGAGACCAGGTGCTGACCGTTCATGCAGGATATTATTCGGGTTTGAACCATACTGGTTATTACTGCTACAGCACATGTGAGTGTTTTCCAGATAGCTTTTGTTTCCACAGCATCCCCTAGCTTGAATTTTTTGAGGTATGCCTTGAGTAATCTCGCCTTCGCAACAACTGTCCCTGTACGTGTTGTAAGGCACTGCAGTGTAACGCAAAACATCTGGCTTTTCACAGGGCATATCAACTGATTTTTAGGAGAAAATTGAACATCATATGTATTTAATAACAATTTTTAAAATATGCCAAACATAAATATGGAAAAACTTAAATATTCATAGTTGGTTGAATAGCCCATTTAAGCTCTGTGTACACTAACATTTTGTCAAAAATACATGTGAATTGCCCATATATGGGTATAATATGACATCATGTCCATATATGGGTATAATATGACAGCCATATATGGGTATATGACATCATCATGCCCATATGTAGATGTGATGTGATATGACATCATCATACCCATATTTGGATGTAAAATAAACATACGAGACATTTATTCTAATTGTATTTGTGTAATGTAGTACAGGTACAGTACTTACATTTATCATAGATTCTATACTTATAGCATATTTGTTTGTTGTTGTCAAAACCTCTATTATTACAGCAGGTTGTTAAGCCACCTTCTTTTGAAACTCGCTCATTTCTACAGCAGAGCTCGTCGTCTGGAATGTAGAGACCTTTTCCACAGCATTGTTTACCTGATTCTTTAGGGTTTACAACCTATATATTAAAAGAAAAGCTTCTAATGTACTTCACACACAGTATATTATCCCTTTAGCATACTGGAAAAATTTATCATAGTACATGACTCTTGATAGTAAATAATGTAAGTAACAGCACTGAAAAATTTTTATATGCAAGTGTATACACTACATATTCTTTCCTTATTGCTTAATTATATTATCGAGCGTTATAGTGACCCGGTATCCATTCTGATGGAATGTTTACTTCTATAGTTTACCTTATTGCAGCAAACTTCACCGCTTGTATTGTAAGTATTCAAGCCACAGCATGAACTTTCGTTGACATCGTGTCTGCTCACGTTGTGTATTTTAACCCTAGTGGTCTCCTTACAGCACAGTTGTGTTTTAGGGTCATATAGGTGGGAGGAACCACAGCATTCTCCCAGACCATCCAGTACAGTGAAGTTGTAGGGGGGTAATATTTGGTTGTCCATTCGGCAACATGTCTGATTTGCAATGCTATAAACGTTGTCTCTACCACAGCAGCGTTCTGTAATTGAATGTAATTCTTTTAATTTATGGATTTTCTTTATTTCTTTAATAGGAAAGGTGTTAATAACATAATAATATTAATTTATGCAAAATATATGCTGATTTATACTATCTCATGTGAATTGTACATGCTGCTGTCATGGAACTACAGTAGTATGTTTTTGCAGTGTATTTATAAACTCTTCAAATAAATTTTAAATTTTAACTTTTCAATATTTTTTTTTCTTCTTCCAAGGAACCACTGAATACAGATTGGAGGAAAATACTGCACGAGGAAAAGAATTATAAAATGACGGTGATCTGGAAATAGAACTAATGCATGTCTTGAACACATGTTTTCTAACGTATGCACATTTGTAATTGAAACAATGTAAAAACAACTTAAATTGTTAATGTTATGAAGTAATATATCCAGCTTTTAGAAAATATGGAAAATCTATGGAATTGGAAAGAGTTAGAACCAGGACATTAGCATTTGAAGATAGGCACCTAAACAAGCAAACCATTTCAAAGTACAGAGATTCCGAGCGATTTACCTGTTCGTTTGTCATAAACTTTGTTGTTACAGCAACCGTGTGTTTCAGGGTTGTACCAATGTAAACCGCAGCACATGTCTGGTGAAGATACCGGCCTCCTTAATTCATTACAGCACTTAAAGGCATGTGTACTGAGATACTCTTGGCCACCTAAAATCAATAAATACATCAATTATTATTCAATTAATTCATTATTTTATATATAAATTTAGTTTAATGTAACAATGAATTACTAAAATAATGGTTTAATAGTATATAAAAGTACAGTAAAAAAATGTTGGGAATTGGTATGTTGAATATGATGTCCATATAAGGGCAAAAGACATATTTGTCAGTAAGTGTCTCATAAATAAGACCTATTATATAAATAATACTGGTTTCGTATTCTTTGAATACATCCTTAAAACGTTCACAATCATTTTTCGATTTTTGTATAGAACGTGTGTAAATCACTAAGTTTTGAGGCTATCATAAAGATAAGATTTAGTCTGTTTTAATTTTTAAATGAATAATAATATTTTCCTGCCATTTGATTAATGATCTAAATTTTAAAAGATAAGATTTATATAATGTATAGTTTCTATAATTCAGTGAATATTGTAGTTTCTGTAGTACTGTACAATTATATCTTGTAGAGTGAACTGAGTGAATAAAAGATTATGTTCTAACAGCAAGGTGTAAGTATCTGCATAGTATTCTGCGTAAATATTGTAGAACTGTTTAAGTATTAATAAACCAAGCACAATTTGATTTGTAAATTTGATACAATCAAAAGCATTGACACCACAAAAATTCAAGCCTGTAGCCAAGGGGAGGGGGGGGGTGGGGAGGTGGTTTCGAAAAAACCCCCCTTTTCCAGAAATGCCCTTTACAATCATTACTAAATCTTACTATTTGCATGAAAGTTTTTGAAATTAACTCCAAATATTTTTAACTTGGTATTTTTATTGCCATTTCTGGACATCTGAGGTGTTATATTTTGAAAATTTAACCCAACTATGGTGGGGCAGAAGTGGATGTGGGCATAAAGTGACCTTTTGTGAAAAATTAGAAACCCCCCTGTCCCCATTAAAAATCCTGCCCTACCGGCTTTGAAACCCATATTTAAAATACAGTATATATACAGTATTTGGTGTTTACTGAATATATACGATATATAAAAATCATTATATAGGGGATTTTTTGAAGTATAAAATAACAACTTACAGCATATGTTGGTAGTTCCGTCCATGGGTTTTTGATAGATAACCCCATCACAACACGTATGGGTGTACTCGTTAAAATTTTGGAAGGTATTACCAATTACGCATTTCCCTAAAACAATGAGTGAATGTATAAGTTAGGCAAAATATACCATTGGTTTATCACGAATATTTCGGTCGCACGTGCGACCTTTCTCAACGTATAGTGACGGTAGACACTACTGGCATCATGATATATAAATATTACAGAAACAATAGAAAGTGGTGATATAGTATACAATCTGTGAGCCTATACAATATAAATGCAATGAACAAAGGTAAGCAGTGAATATGAGATGAAACAATAGAATATAAGAAAGCTGCATCATAATAGGCTGGACCTATGCAAAGCGTTATCGTCTCATCAATAATAATCAAAATTAAAAACGGTCCTTAATGGAGCTCTGGTTAATAATCGTGGTATGTCAACTTTGGTATTTCATTTGTTTACTTAATGCTGTTCAACTATATAATCCGAAACATACGTGCACCCATCACATTGATGCCTATATATATATCTGTCTCTTATACACATCTAGATGTGTATAAGAGACAGGTTCTGCACCGTGAGCTGCATTAGGCCTATATCTATTCATTAATTCCGACAATCTTGTAGAGCGTTTGTAATCCTTCTTTTATTCTGTGGTTCTTGAATATAAACTCCGTCCTTCTTTATTATGAGCATTGCGTTTGGACGGAGGCAACGGCATAAATCCACTGTATTAAGTTTCATTATTACATTACATTGCAATATACTATATGTTATGTAATGAAACCGGTAAATTACTTACATATATAATTTTAAAGAGCGTAAGTAAATCGTTCTTAATCAGAGTTCAAGAATGTTAGTCAAAGCTAAAGTGATATTCCTTTACATAATAAACAGTAGGAATTACAGATGGTAGGCTGGACGCCTGTACTACGGTGTTCAGGTCACTGAGTCGTAAGCATCTGTCAAAGCGAGTAAACGATAATATTAACCGCAATATTTTAGGTAGAGTAACTAAGAAATAACAGTTGTCATCGGCTTACGTTCTAATAACAGTATCTATAGTTGGATTTCATGACACGAGTGGTTAGAATGTGATTTATTTTAGCGTTTAAATCATTCAGCACAGTAAGCATAATAGGGTATGAACAAAAATAGTTATACAGTATTCAATCCAGAGACACTTTTTTCACTTAGGCCTTTGTAACTACGGTATATTGTTTTAGTTTGGATTCTTTAAACCGAACAATCAGCAATTTTAATAATTTTTGAGATTTAGAAGTTTAGAATAACAAATGTTATTTTTTAGCTGCTCTTTTCGTTACATTGTACAATTATATAACTTTCTCATAAGCCAGTTTTTGCTGACCGTTTTTTAAAAAGGGTGTGAATAAATAAAATACTTAGGGCCTACATTTCGTTGAAGAACGATGCTTGATACGAACATTATATGTTCGAGGTTACAATTATTTATCTATTTGTTTATATAGCCTATAATACATATCCATTTATACATGTATATATAGGCATTAGGTCTGCAAAATTAACTGTTATCATATAATTACTTTGTATCATTCTCCATAAGAAGTTTTAATAGCAGCCAGTAAATATAGAATTTAAACTGATTGAATAGGCTTAAGTCCTTGCAAAAACATTAATTGTTGTGTTTAGTGTTTTCTGCGATGTATTTTGCACCTACTGTAATTTACTTTTAGACAAACTAAAGAAATCTGAATCTGAATAAGGTTGCATGGTTAAAAGATTACTTGTTGTTTAGGACATTCTCGTATACAAAATAAATTGAATCATACCTGCATTTACTCCAGAGACAACTAACATCATCAATACCAACATTTGTTGCACCATTTTTAATCGATACATAGCCAGCGATTGACTAGCTGCTCGAATCATTCTCGCTAAGTTTCAATATTTGTTATCCGTTCAACTCTCTGTAACTTACTGAATGAAAACCATGCATGGATTCGACCATTTATACGCAGTGGTGGGAATTCCCGACATCCTACTAGACCTGACTTGTGAAATACGTTCTCTGGCAGCGGCAGGTTTCGATTTTAATTTGCAATAGCTGAATATTATTAAATCCGGTTACGTAGCGTTCTAGTGGTGGAATTATATTGCCGTGTCCTGTAACAATCATAACCGAGGTTTGACCTAACAAGCGTGAAGTTCAGTCAGTCAGATTATCCCACTCTAACATGATATCTCACAACAAGTGTTTAGTATTCTTTCATATTTATTTGTATTCTTTATCTATGATAATAATATGTTCATTTTACTGGTAAATAAGCTTACAGGGTGACAGCTTTTGGTGTGTGCAATCATGGTAGCAATAGCCTATGAATCGGAGGCTATATCTTACATATCATATTATCGATACCTCGGCATTGGTGGGATGTTAATAGAGCAGATATTAGGCTATAGGCCTCTATATAAAATGTATTATGAAAATTCCCTAGCGGGCATGTATGTTCTTATAAATTTAATTGAAGTAATTTTATATGATAATAACGTCAGTGGTGATGTCTGCAGGGGAAGGGGAATTCCCTTCCCCTCGTCATATAGGCCCGGGCCCTGTCGTCCGACGCCGCGACGAGGTCTTCGGACCAAAAATAACAATTTGCCTATCCAAATAACGTTATTGTGGTTGACAATCCGCAATATTGTTGACTAAAAGCACAATTTGGGCCATAAAAACTCCCCTGTGAACCTTGTGAGGGAGATTTATTCCGGAACCCTGACTGAAGCTCTAGTCGGTCCCTTGGTTCGGACCTCCCTGTCGAACATTTTGGACCCCCTGTCGGCAAATTTCTGGACCCACAACTAAATAGCATTAGTAGTGTTGAAATAAGGGGCGGAATCGGACAGGACACAGCTTAAAATTGACTTCGACACTGCTTCGTGCCCTCCCTTTCTCTTTAAAATTCTAAATATGCCACTCATCACCAACACCACCGCCCAACATCACTATCAATAGCAAGCACTCGAGCCGATGAGCTATATTATGTGGACCACTTTAACATTCTGAATTAGTTTGGATGAAAATGTAGATTTCCCTATGCTGAGTACTTTTATATAATGACTCATTTTCACGCATATTTATTCAAGTGTGTATTCCTGTATTCTAAGAATCGTTGAGGTTTCTTAGAATTTCTGGAACAGTACTTATTATAGCAATTATCGTGTGGATACTAAAACTAATAACTACTACTGTATTATTATATAGAAACGCATACTTTGTGTGTCGTTCAAATAATTAATTTAATGATAATATTGGTGGCTAGGACAAAGAAGATGACATGGTTATTATCTCTATCCTCATCATCCTCGTCATTATCACTACCACCATCATTATTATCACCACCATCATAATCATCGTCACCATCATCACATTACCATCATCATCATTATTATCATCATCACAGTCATCAGCATCATCGTCATCATCATCATCATCGACATCATCATGATTATCATCGTCATTGTTACGATTGTCATCATCATCGGGAGTGCGCATTTCCTTCCCTTTTGTGCACGCGTGTTGTTTAATGCCGTTTTTTGGCCGCCATAGGCTTATTGGTTTATTATTCTTATTTTTTTCGGTATGATTCGTAGTCTGACACTGTCAGCGCCTTGAGGCGATTTTATTGTGGAAGGCGCTCTACAAATATTCTACCATTACCATTACCATCATCATCACGATCATCATCATCATAATCACCGTATATATATATATATATATATATATATATAGAAAGAAAACAGGAAACGGAGTAGACTTTTAAAACACAATTTATTTCAACATGAATATTTCAACCTGTCCCATGTCCTCTTCAGCATGACTGACTTATAAACACCTGTACAAGTTGGTCTATTAGCGATTGGTTAAAGTTAATCATAGTGACTTACCGGTAATTCTAATAACAATTATTGTCATTTTCACTCATCGGTATTTCTTACAGCATAAGATTTCATTCAGTACCCTGGTTCCAAGAACTGCAAAGGCCGGATTTTTCCTAGAATAAGTAACGGTATAGGTATTCTAGTTTCCTATGCCTTGGGTCTCGCTCTTCTTGATTACTGCTCTACTCCTAAATACAAAATGAAATAGTATGTGGTTTAATTAACTCAGACGTTTAGTGCAGTTCGGCTTAATATTTGTTCTGCATCTTCCTCAGAAACGATGTGCAGTACGGTATTTCCCGTTTAAACGTAATATGGGGAAAGCTTGGTAGATATCAGAACAGAAATAGTGTCTTGCCTAGTGAACATATAAATAATTTGTAAATACAGTATTAGGCCTAGGGATGTATGTATAAAAACAATACATTCTAAATGGATGATTGCATACCACATGTTGAAATAAGTGCAATACAAACGATAAATTAACAAATAAAATGAACGTAAATATAAATACATAAATAAATAAATGAATGAAAACGTCAGAAAATGAATAAATGAATGAATGAGTCAATCAATCAATCAATCAATCAATCAATCAATCAATCAAGCAATCAATTACCACCCAATTATTTATCAATTGATTTAATTGATTAATCCATTAATTATTAATTGATCAATCATTAGTAAGTAAACCAATTAGTCCATTATTCAATCACCTCATTATTAATTTTGTTTGTTAAAACTCTTTCCTCGCTATTAGGAAGTTAAAGTCTATAAGACAGCAAGACTTGGCTACCAAGAAAAGCTCGCCCACGCAATGTGTTGCATCATCACGAAGACTAATGCAATACCTTACTGTTCGGTTCTCCTAAGTGAGAAATTGTTAAACTGCAAAGAATACAAAATTGTGCAGCAAGAATCATCACAAAAAGAGGCATGAACACATCTCACCTATAGCTGTCCTTGGTAACCTTCATTGGTTGGAAATTATTAAACGAATTGTTTTAAAAATACTTTTAGTCATTTAAGGCCATACTTCATAATAAACCACAGTATATAATGGATCTGATACATACTACCCCAAAACGCACTCTGGGTCTAGTGTTCATCGAAGAACCTACTTGTGACATAGTAGGCATCTGTTCATTTCCAGTTGCCTCTTCGCAATTATGGAACAACTTACCTGAATAAATTAATTAAAGGCACCAGTTCTGCTGAATCATTTAAGTCCAGTTTGAAAATTGTTTTGTTTGAATAATTGAATTTAAAAATCAATATTTTATGTGGGAAATACCTATATTTATTATAAGATATGCCGATTAATAACACTAATTATAAGTAAGTTTTTGTGGTTTTTATTATATTTTGCCGGCGGAAAACAAATCTCTGTATGCATATATGGACGAATAATGTTTCTGAGTATGTCAGTACACTGTACTACAGTAAAGGAAACAGTTATACTATTATTAGGCCTACAGCTATATTAGTCCGAAGTCGCGGTATATTTCGAAACTAAATATTCTCAAAATAGGACGCGTAGGAGTCTGTTTGACGTCACACATCCTAACATTGACTATTGTTAGGCAGGAGTAAAATGAAGGTATAGTTATCTCTAATCCCCTTAAATTCTGGTTTTATGCTCCGAACTTTACTCCACTATTTTATTCTATCTTCCTCATTTATTCACTCGTATTTTGTATAGAAATGAGGGCCACTATGTGAGAATAAACTAACATTATTTTTAACTATTTACGTGTAGGCCTAATTTCTTTGCTCGCAAAATTTCCATTACACGGACCCCTTAGATACGCCGCTATCACCAAAGATACTGTAGCAGGTGCCAATCCAGAGATATCTGGAAGTGGAAGGGGGCGGGGCGGAGGAAAGGACCGAAAGTTTTTTTTTAACTTTCAAAAGTGTGGGGCGGGGACCGGGGCCGGCCCTGTGTAGGGCTATGCCTATTTACGTAGGTATCTTAATGTTCTTCACCGGCATTAATTTTCAAATCGGCCTGTTTCTTAAGATAGAAGATCCACAGAAAAAGTACCAAGTTCGAGATACAAATTACTTTAAACTTTTGTTTCAGTGGCTTACAATGTTGAGTAGGTAGGACATAATAAAATTGAGATAAATACAAAATGTTATAACATCGTTTTTTTATTTGTTTAAGCAATGACGCGAAGAAAGCTAAACAGAAATCGAAACATGAAATCAATTTAAGTTGGCCGGGTTATCATCATAATGGTGACATATTCGACGAAAATTTCTGTTTTTATGAATTTAGAATACATCATTTATGTATGCTACGATCCCACCCAAAAGACAGTCACCTCTAGCATAAAAAAAAGCAAAAACAAAAACATGCTGTGTCATTCTATTGAAGGCATTTGACTGAGTAATCTCAGAGACATAACGACTGCGTACTATCGGAGTTGGGGTGGGGGCCCAGTCTGAATAGGAGAATCCTTATCTAGGGCCTAGATTTCATACAGCCTTCTACAGAGCTCCTAACAAAACTTACCATTATACACCCCTCACCCCCGAACACCAAATGCTAAGCAAATGAAAACAATGGCTATTCCGTTTTGCGTTTCGTTGTAGACAACTACTGTGAATACGCGTATTTACAGGAGGGTTGGGGCTGGTGCGCACGCATCCCGAAAATTTATTCCCCTTGTGCCGCCACTAGAAAGTAGCTGAGCAAAAAAAAATACGCTTAAGTAGATAATGATCACCTCATATTAACGTATTTTGTCAGCAATTTCCCCTCACATCGAGTTTTCTACTTCATCTGCATCCTTCCCCCATCAGCCTCTGTCAATGTTCAATAATACTTCACCGCTGTTTATCTATACCTTAACCATTATACACTTTATCAAAATTTATGTGAATTGCCCATATATGGGCTATGAGGATGTCATAATATCACATACATATATGAGCATGATGATGTCATATGCATTCCCCCCTCCCACTTTTTTTAGAGAATTTTTCTGTTGTTTGTAATCGAACCATCCTCTTATCTCGATCTTACAAATGTTCTATACAACAATCGTGCTTAATTGCATGCAAAAAATTGACTATTGTATAAATATTTTAAACACATTACCCTTAGCAAAGGAATATGAAGATTAGCATCCTACTGAATTTTTATGTTGTTAATTTCGTAACTGTTTGTGGCAATTATTGTTTGAAGGTTTGAATGCGAAGTAACAACGACGATATTTGTCTGCGGTGCACCACGTAAATAGTTCTGAAAAGGATTGAGGTTTTTGTTGTTTGAGTCTTTACGTTTGGTTGACAATGGTTGCTTTAATCGTCATCAAAATGTCATTCTCCTTTTCAGAACTATTTACGTGGTGTACCGCAATCATTTATTATACAAAATATTATGCCCATTTTCAATCTATATTCCGCTTTTTCAGCTCACCGGCATCATTTTAATTTGTTATGTTATTATGTTATTTTCATATTTTGTTGTAGTTTGTTTATTGAAATTATTAAAATATAAAGACTAATAATAAATTACAATTTTTAACCATTTGATAACCTAACTTAATAGGCGTAACAAAATTGATGTTTTGAAATCTTAGACCATGGACCTTAATAAGGACTTCTTATTAATAGGATGCTAGGACTAGGGTCTAAAGCTAGTCAAGTACATATCATTTCTGTTGTAAAGTCCTAGCGTCTCTGTTCTTAGATTTGGTAGGGTAGAGATATTATGTCTTATTTTCAGAGAATAGCTTTCGAGACACCTGAAAATATTGATTTTTCTTGAGCAGAAATCGCAGTTATCGAGATACCTAGAATATATTCAATTAAAGTTTTCTCTGAATACCGAGTCAATTTCGAAAATAGATTGCTTAACATGAACATATCCCCTGTGAATGTAAATTTTTTCGAAAGCTATGTTCCATGTCTTATTATGTATATTAGAATGATTCTATGGAAGTTAGAATTTGGAATTTCCCGAACCACTGCCAGAGTATTTCTTTATCTCAGACAATGATTGTGTCAACGTTTTTAACGAAAGCAGAATTTTATATCAGAATTTTCGTTTTAACTACTACAATGTTATGTTTTGAAATATCAATACTTCTATCAGCTAGATTTGCAAAGAATACCTGTGATGATTATCGGGCCTGAAATACTCCTTGTCAATCCTTCTGCATGTTGAAACCGAAAATACGTTGTTTATGCATTACGAAATCGGGGAAATCCCGCAAACATTATCGATTGTGCGTACATTGATCATATAGAGGGCAGTGTTTGAACGAACTAAAATTAAAAACAACCATGAGTGGGAATTCCAGTAATAATAGCCGATATCAAAATCAAGGAAACGACGTTACTGAAGGTGATTTAGATCATACTTATTTTTAATTTATGCATCATAGAACATAGATCAGTTAGGAAACGTGAAGAAAATAATTAGCTGTATGTAATTCGACAGGATTTCTAAGCTAGGCTGTCACCTAACTTGAAAGCTCGAGGAGAAAGACTGGCTCAACCCGAGGCCGGCTAATGTAACTAGGCCTACATACAGAGCCCAGGGATTGTGAGACTTTAGCAACACTATTCAAGAGGTGGGGAATGGTCCATTGTTTATAACTCTATGGAATAATATACCCTCAGATACGACCACCTTAGTAAACATGCAAAGCAGTCAAAAAAAAAAAAAGGCTTTTCATGTGATTGCAGTCTGAATCGTTAGGTCGACATGTGTGTACAGTACTACTGTAGTCTTTAAACTTGAAATATGGTACTACTACTGTTTGGTAAATTTTGGAAAACCCTTAAAAAATCTAATTAATATATTAAATAACATTTTTTTGAAAACTACACTTTTGAATCAATGGCACATCAAGTAGCTATTATAGTGTTTATAATACCTTCATGGGCACACACATCATTCAGTGGGTTCACAATAAAACTATAAACCGCAGACTAACGACACATACAAAAAGGAAAAGCTTAAAAGATAATTCAATAAAATATACAGTGATATTTGAAATATATTAATCTTAACCTAAGCATTTTACAAACCATTAAAAATTATTTAAAGTTCATTGAGTAAAACAGGAACGGGTGTAATAAGTGCAAAGGGTAAAATTTGGATTGAAAGTCAAATTTAAAATGTTCAAGAAACTGCATACTGTAATAAAATTGGTAAGATGGCTAAAATGGTTTTGAAGTGCTTAGAATAACATTAAGTTTAAAATCATGCAATGCTGTATATTAAGACTCACAATGTACTTAAAAAGTACTAATAAAATTACATTAATGTTCTTTTTAGATATGCTTTGCCATACTTATCCAGAATTTGATTAATTAATTTCCACCTATGATTATGTATACAAATTTGTGTTAGCAATGCCATTGGGTAACAAAAAAGTAAATATCAATAAAGATTGAAACATGTAAGTTAAATTAATGCTAGATAAAATACAATTACATTGCATAGGAAAGACACTATTTATTAATGTTGACATTCTAATTTTCACTTAAATGTTAAATAACTTATATAAGCATTAGACTAAGCAATTATAGTTGTTATTAAACAAATTTAAATGTTTCATTTTTTTGCACAGTTCAAACAGGATGTTTTTTAAGATCATGTAAATTTTGCTTTTGTAGTTTGATACCGAATTTGCACCAACTCTCTGTTACCATAAAGCTGGACCATAGAATTATTAGATTGTCATCCGGTTCCTTCGACAAAAAAAAAACAAAAGGGCAAGGTTTTTTTAAACACTTATATTTTCCCCATCTATTTGTCACTCAAAAAAATGTGTAAACTTCCTGCATTAACACAAAAAGCTAAGATAATACATTGAAAATCTCTAGGTAGATTCCCAATAAAATTATAAATAAAAAATTATTTTCGGTTTCAAATGTCACGTTCAGTGAAGCACGACATTTATTGAAATGTAACGCTGTTAAGGTATTACATTGTTTTTTATGTTATTCTATCACATATGCCTTTAGGCTTATAATATTGTTTATAGTGGGGCATGCTCAAATTGCGATTAACATGTTTCTGTAGTTGACTTCCTGGAATACGATGGGCAAGTATGTGGAAGTTCAGTGTAGATTACGTTTGTCTCGCTGTTGTATGTCACACTCTACAGTAGTTATCACCACAAAAATCTAAACCAAGGGGAATTGTTGCATAATTTTTAAAAGACAAAATATAATTTATATATAATCACAAAGTGAAAGTATACTGAGATAGTATGTACTTTGAATAATTTTAATGCAGTGTCTTTCTTTTGTCCCATCTTTCACACTAGTGTTGATAAATACCCCAAATTTTAAATGCATGCATTTCGGGAATGCTCAGTATAGTATTTAATTGGTTCAAACATTTTTAGAAAAGAGAGGCTTGTTCTAATATTTGAAAATAATGTCATGTTGGAATTTAACATGCTTTTTATGTAATGCCCATGGATGCCCCAAATGGTCACCAATAGTAATTTCTTGAAACAATGAAAGTAAAACTGTTTACCCAATTTTCTGTTGATACCTTGTGTTATACATGGCCTATCTGACTGTTCATCATCATCTACAGCCTGTTTTATTTACAGGTGGGCAGAGGCCTCTCCCAAATTATGCCAACTGTTTTTGTCTGTGGTGAATTTTGTCCATATTATTAATCCTACCAGCTCATGTCGTCATCTGGCTTTTGGTCTTTTCAGAAGTTTAGCCATAAACACAAAATAGGCCGTCCAAAATGGAAGCCAGTGGGCATGGCACTGAGCTGCTGGGCGGTCCACGCCCATCTTTGGGAATCCCCACCGAATATTGGTATGAAAACAACATACATTCAATAAATAAATGTTGTTTTTATCAAACGTAAATATGATTTAGCTTTAGTTTAATCATTGACCTATTAATAAGAATGTAATATTCGATAGATTTGAAGAACATAAAGAATTTCATAAAGGTAGACCAGGCACAATTAGGCTAGGCTGAGCTGATTAGGCCAAGCTGATTAGGCCAAGCCGTCACGGTAAAAGTGGCCGTCCTAAATAATTGTTGGCCGTCCAAAAGACGGCCGGATGGCTCGCTGGCTAAGCCTATGGGTCTTTTCCTTTTTACCATATAGTGGTTGCCATAGTGGTTGCCATTGTGGTTGCCATTCAGTTGTTGTTAACTATACAATGCATTTATACTACCTGTTTTAAGTGCCATTTAATAATTTATCTAAAACCTTTGAATCATTTCATAATTATTAAACAAGAAATAGATTAAGCCTGTGCCCTGTGCTAAAACATACCATGCAACTTGCATTTCATACCAGGAACAAAAATATGGCAAGCCACCTGAAGGAACCACCCACTCAGCTGAGTGCAAAAAATAGCAACTACAGCTGAAATCATAAAGATAAGTAATATTAGTAACAATAATAAAAACAATGTACTTTTTCTTTGATTATCACTTGGATGTGAATTTTGTGATGAAAATTTATTTGAATAAATGCCCCACTTTGAAAAAATCACATTCCTTGAATAAACTTCCCCTCCAGAGCCTCAATTGGAAAAAACATCTCTCTCAAATAAATGCCCCCCCCCAAAAAAAAAAATTAGTCAAAAATAATTTATTTTACTATTTGTATTGTTTGGTAAATGGAAATAAAATTATTTGAAATGGAAAAATTGGTATTGCAATGTGTTTTTTTATTGTGAACCTGTGATGCAAAATACCAAGGCAATATTGGTATCGGGTCAATTTGATCCACTAAGAAATATGGACCTTGCAGTGATTGTAAACAAGTACTGTAGGCCTATTACAAACATAAATAATTTTGCTATCCATCTGAAGTTCTCTACTTTGTAAGCACCGGTACTTAATATCAAGTGCGTATCATTTTTAACATAAATTATCTTGTTTTTATCCTTTATTTGACCTGTCGGGATCATGTGGAAGTTGTTTACAGTTGCACTAAATAAACATTTAAATGAAAATTGATAAATAATGTCATCCGAATTGAGAATGAAAGTACACATGTCAGTGGATTTGTTATCTTAACCATGTATCCTGTTACAAAAATACATTTGAATTTTGTAAACCAGTGACCCTAAGTACTTGTATTCTATTTGCTTATTGTCAAATGAATAAACTTTGAAGATGTCCTTTTGCTTGTGAACAACACATGTGACTCATTTATTAAATATGTTTAAGCAAACAGGTCCCAACAAAGTGAAAGGGATGGGTACACTGTTCCATTGCTATTTTTGACTCTCCCATCAAACTTATAAATAAATAAATGGTGTTAATATCCTTGTTGTTTATTGGATTGGAAAACAGCTGTATTGATTTTTTTACCTTATTTGGTATGGAACAGGAAGGATGTACAGTGTGCCCTCTACAGTTAGCAATCTACAGTAGTTGTTACACTCATTGTTATTATTAGCTTTTATGTGGAAAATCTATTGGGGTTTTTTTATATTCCCTTTTCCTATGTTTTTTCACAGTGTTTTTCTACCCTCCACTTTTGACATTTTCTGTGCTAAATTCAAAATTGGTCCAAGCAAAGATCATTTTATTAGTCATTCATTTGTTCATTCATCTGTTCATTCTTTTATTCATTTTATTAATATGTTTGTTAACTTTTGTATTGTTGTCATTGAGGGAAGATTTAAACACAAATCTAAGCGTTTTCTACAGCTGCTATTGTAGTCAAAGACCATGCCTGTTGCTAATTAAAACAATGATGCTGCGAACTATGGGTTATTCTACTTTTACCTTTATATTTTTTTAAAAATATTTTGTTCTACTAAAGTATTTTGGGATTGATTACTGCTGTTTAGTTAGTTTCTATGGAAATTGAATCAGATGAGTCAGTGATAAAATATCTGATGTATTATTTTCCAACAATCCCAGCAAAATAAACAATTTTGACTTGAATGCACACTTAGCTAACATCATAGCATTATAAATGATTTGATGAGGTGTGTAAATTGTTGGTTAACAATACTGTATTACAAAGTCAATAACTGACTGAAAATTGTTTTCGTCTTATTAATTATTATTATTAGCCATTCTTTGAGAGCATTAGGATAAGTTTGATCACCCAGTTGGTCAAATTTGCCTTTGCGTACGGTTTGATAATCCCCTTATCTCATCGATACGAATTCAATGGCTGGTTATTGAAGCGTGCAGACTGTACCACTGTAAAATAGGGGTATTTATTATTAGGCTAGAGAGTAGTAATTTCTTCAATTTATTAATATTATATCATATTAATAGTTAGGGCCTAGGCCTATACATTTTTAACAGTCCAGAAATATGACCATTCATTAACATTACAGATGTTTCTACTACACACACTGTACAGCTGTACATGGTGTAGTCTGATTATCAGACAGTGAACCGGAGGAGAATCTGTGGGCCTAGCGTAATATCGCCATTTATAAATTGCCATAACTGCCATATTTCGTAGGTAAATACATTAAAAATTATACCAATATGTTCACCTACACATGCACAAACTAAAAATCAAACTTATATTTCAAGGTACAGTAAATAAAACTATAAATTATACCTCCAAAGTGAAGCTAGTTCTGCACGAAAATCCGGTAAATTCTCCAAGCACTATTCTAAAGCATTGGCTTTTAAACTGACTTGCTATTGGTAGATTTTTATAAAAATAAAAAGTCCGACACCATTTATTAACCAATCTAATTGATTTTTACATATGTTGTAGTTAATAAATAAAGCTACAGATTGCCACAACAATGCCGAAAATCGGCACAATATTAGTGGAGCTACGACGTAAAAACTTAAAGAAATTTGCCACATTTCGACTAAAATCATAGGTTTTACACTGTAAAATTTGAAAAACTACGGTTACAAAAATGAAAAGTCCTACGAGATTTCGCAACCTTATAAATTAAAATTAAGGTTGGTAAAACAATTACTGTATTAAATTTTGAATAGAATAAAAGAACAATGGCGAAAATCGGACAAGTAGAAGTGAAGTTATGGAAGAGAAATGTGAGAAAAAATAGCGAAAATAGCGGAAAATCGAACTTTTCGAATGAAATTAAATGGATTAGCGGCGTTCAAACTTATCCTAATGAATATTTGTCTGCCAGTAACTAGTTTGCCTAGTATAGTATTTAGGGCTTACTTACTGTATTATTATTATTATTATTATTATTATTATTATTATTATTATTATTATTATTATTATTATTATTATTATTATTATTATTGCTTCAATTAATAGTGGTAATGTTAATGGTTGAATGAGGTGTACAAGTACTTGGTTGCACAATGAAGTCAATTTTTTTGTGAAAATTGTTTAGGCCTTATTCTTAATATTATAATTATTACTGCTATAGTATTATAGGTGATAATGTTAATGGTTTGTTGAGGTGTGTAAATTCTTGATTGCAATATATTATGAAGTCAATAACTGGATGAAAATATTGGCCTTATTCATACTGTATTATTATTTAAATTTTTATTATTAATATTACTACTTTTATTAGGTTGAAACAACTTAGTTTTGTTGAAGCCTGTCAGACACAAAATTTTGGAAATCCGGAGTCGTAAATAATTATAATTCTGTTATTACAATGTGTTTCCCCTGATTTATCATTTTTATATTCTTAAATATAACCTTTTTATGCTGTTGTTAAGAGTTAGTTTTAATGTTATATTGATCTGCATATTGTTTCCTGGTCTGAGTCATTTGGGGTTTTTTTTTCTTGTGTCCGTCCCTTCTCAGTTTAATGTATTATTGTAAGTTTTTCTGAATGTCTCTTTGTATTTTAGATTTTTATATGTTATGTACTATTTTTATATCCATTTTAATATATTGTTGCTTTTTGTCACAGATGATATAAATTTTTAACCTGTAATTTATAATGCATTATATATATATAAACATTGAAATAGGCTTAGGCCAAGGAGACATGATATCCAAATGCAGCAGCAAATTCAAGGCAATGGGTGATGGGGGGAGCCACACTGAATTATTTTAAATTATAAAAAAGTAGAGAAAAAAAGAAAATTCTATTCAAATTCAAGTCTGAGAGTGGCATTTCCGGCCATCTAGTGGGGACATAATCGTAATTTTTCTTACCTCAGCCCCAACGATGGTAGGGCTGAGTGGTCCCCCGCTATTTTAAATTCCTGGATTCGCACTGAAATGCCACTCTGCTTACTTGCTTGTGTATGTAGTATAATTTAGTTTTTTTAACTTCAAAGCTATGGCAATTTTAAATTTTGTTTGCAATTGTAGTTATTGAAAATTGTTATGTAATTACATGGTAGATTATGTTGATTCATTTGATGTTGATTATATAAATTGATGAAGATGTACAGATAAATTAATTTAAATTATTATTAACATTTTTATAATAATAATAATGATAATTAATTTCGTTAACCCGTAGACAATCCCCTTCACATGACATGGCATGACAGTGCTTGGATTCCATTGTTGGATCCGTCCAACGTGATGAACTATTTCAGTGAACGCAGCAATCCTTTCTATGATCGCAAATGTAATAATGAGATAGTGAAAATGCAGCGTCAAAACCCAGAACAACTTATGTGAGTAAAAATGTTTGTACAATTAATAAAGTTTTAAAGTAGAGGGCAGTATTCATTTTAATGTTACCAGTACACTTGGCAGGAGATGTGGTTAAATGAGCTAGCTAGCTGCTTTGAGGGACACAATTGATAGTAAACACATACAAACTTTTATGAGACTTTGGACCTCTGTGTTTTAATTAATTAATTAATTAATTAATTAATTGAATTAATTTCTCCATACAGATAATATTTCAACAGATACTTTTAAATTTTTATCTATTACCTTCAATTTAAAATTTATTCTTTTCAGATATTGTTGTGTTGCTTATAATTTTTTTTTCTTTTTAGCAACATGATCGGTCTTGAGTATCAACTTCTTCATGTACATGACCCAATCTTATATGTTATACGTAAACAGCATCGGTTTTCCCCGACTAATGTCACGCCTCTGGCTGATTATTACATCATAGCAGGAGTTATTTACCAAGCACCAGACCTTTGCTCAGTCCTCAATGCTAGAATGGTAAAGAGAATATTTGAAGACTTCATTTATAATTCATTTAATGTTTGATTTCATTACTCGAATTAGAAAAGGCCATCTATATTATATATTAATGCTTGCGGAACACCAGGTAGATAGTTCTGAAACGAACTGTTGCTAGTTGAGAATGTCTAGATGTTTTGATTGAGTTGCTTCAATTGTCTTCAGGATATTACTATTAATATTAGCAGGCCCATAAACAGGATTTTTGAAAGGAAATTTTGGGGATTGGTGTTTCTGTGAAATAATGTTTAAGAAAGTGGGCCTTTTGAAATTTGGGTTAGTGCATCCGATTCCGATCCCTCTGCACCCCTGCCTACAGACCTGTATTAGTAGTATTAGTAAGGATGTTATTAGGCCTAAGGAAGAAAGTATTAGTTTAAGCAGAGGTGGCTCCAGGATATTAATAAAGGGGAGCAGTGCTGTCCAACGAGGAAGTTAAGGGCTTCTGTTAGGGTTCACAGTCAGTAAATACCATAAATGCTCGAATAAGCGGCGCACTCAAATAGACATGGCTCTTAAATAAGCGTTGCACCAAACATGATTTTTTTTGTTAAGCGCCGCTCTCAAATAGGTACCGCGGTGCTTAATCGAGAGTATTGTGTGTAAGGAAACAGTTTGAGAAACATGGTTTTAAATATAATGTATGCAGTGTTGAAATGCATAAATAACACAATGAAGTTTATTATCGTTTATTTATAATGACGTAGGACCTATGATAGGCCTACTGAACTACGGGAATACGTGAGATAGGTGAAATGGGAATGAGCATGTAAAGTGCCATGCCAATATTTTTTTATAAGTGCCGCTCTCGAATAAGCACCACACTGAAGCCGCCAAAAATTTTACAAGTGCCGGAGCGCTTATTCAAGCATTTACGTTACTGGTAAAAATTTAATGGTCAAGCCCCCTGGTGCCCAGAGAAAGTGGCCAAATGTGAGCCATCTTGAGACATACCATGCATAAATAATTAAAATACACTTATATCTGTATATATATTTTCGTCTCCAAGTTGTAGCCAGCGTGCTGCTTGACCTCTCTGAGGGGGGGGGGTAAGGCACCCATTCCCTCATTCCTGCTACCATTGGCCTCAAGTAATATAATTATTTTTTAGGAAGCCTAGAACATTTTGTAATAACAGAGCTTAAAAACAGAATCATTTATAAAACACCATTTCAAAATGTATCAGCCCTCATTCCTGCTACCACTGGCCTGAAGTAAAATAATTATCTTCTTTTTAGCTGTCCCCACTCATAATTTTATGGAAGCCTAGAAAATTTTGTAATAATAGAGCTTCAAAACAGAAAGACATGATCAAACTTGTTGTAATTGTTTTGTAGTTGACAGCGGCTTTCAACATTCAGTCTGCATTTGAGGAGACACTTTCTTTTTCTCGTTATAAATCATCATGTGGTTACTGGTGGGAGTTTAAAGACAAGGCAAAGCAAGAGAAAGGTAAAAAAAAAATCATAATTTTGAGGTTAATGATAATAATAAAAATACAAATGATAATGATTATAATAATGAGATAATATAACAATAACATCTTACTACTTTTGTAAGTTTTTAAAGAAATTTGTCCAATGGTATTTTATTTTGTAATTTTTTTTTTCAGAAAAGAAGAAACCAAAGAAGGAAGAGCCAGCCTCGATGTTTCAACGGCAAAAGGTTGATGTATTGCTCAGCAAACTAGCGGACAGATTCCCACCCAAAGTAGTACAGGTATGTTGCATGTAGTGTGGGTAATTTTACAATATGCATATCCCTCCCTTACTTCAGTGTAACTGGCTTTACCTTATTCCAACCAATTATGATTCTTTCAATGTATTAAGGTCAGGTCACATATTGCACCTATACAACATCTCTTTAAGTGTGTTTTAAGGCCCAAGAACCATTTCTCAAAACCAAAAATACCAAAATTCTTTATTTGTCAGTAAAAAAAAACATACAAAAAAAACCAAACAGGAAACAAAAAGGAACCTTCATGAAGCCCTAAAGGGCTTGTTAAAAAATAAAGAGGGACCTAAGAAAAACGTATACAATAAAGCATAAATAACAAATTTATGAAATATAAATTTTAAGAATTAAAAAATCCCTCTCCTTGGGTTCTTTCTAAGAGTCTATTTTAACTAGAATTGAACGACTGATTAGATATTGAATAATAGTAATAATTATTTTTATTGTCTGAAAATCTGAATATAACAGGTCAATATCTGAATAGCCATTTATCGTCTGGAAAATAAAAAACTGCAGGTCATTATTAACCATTGCCTTCATACAAGTGTTTGATGTCACTTGTACTTCTATATTGAAAATCAACTCTTGTTTGTTTTGGTGATTGTTCCTTGCACTGCCTGCTGAGAAATATAAGGGCTTATCATAAATTTAAGGCACACACAAAAAAAACCCCGCACATTACCACTAGTGGCATATCTAGCTCGCTTTTCCCACTCAGCGTCCCTAAGTTGGGCCCTTTGAAAATGTTTGAAGCAAAAAAACCATGCTCAAGTAGATAAAAATCACCTTAATTTGTGAGCTTCACCTTCGCACCCCAATTTCCAGTAATCTTAAGAAATATATCACTTCATTTTCAAAAACAACACAACAGATCGTATCTTCATCATAGGCAAAGCCTGTATTTAATCCAATAAGTTATGGCCTTAACGGCCCCAATAAGACATGTTTCGGCTGTCCACTAGCATTGTCAGTTATCTATTGCACGCAGGCAATCATTGATGTAGGGGAGTAAAAATTCAATGTATGCAAGCAAAAAATTTGTGGAATGAACCGTAACAGTACTACAAAGAAAAATATAAATAAAGATAAGATAAGATCAGAGTGCAGTATTTTAAATGCCACTAAGGGGAGAATGGAATGAATTTAGAATGACAAAGATAAATTAACATGAAGAAGCTGTTTGTTCAGTGAGGGCTGC